CACAGTATTTCGAGCCCGGTTTGAGCTCGATCTCGTGTCGAGTGCCTTTGTTCTTAGGCAACTCGCAAGGCACGGATTCAGGAAACACATCCTCGAATTCGATCAAATCCTTATACAAAGGATTTTCCTGAAGCGACTTCCAGGATTGAGATTCATATCTCTCAATCCGAGTCTTCTCATCGATGACACTTTCGTCCATCGATGAACTGCTGAGAACCCTCTCGGTCTCAGTAAAAACCGTTGCCGATCGAATATCGGTAACGTAATCGTCCTCCGCGACGAGTACACAGATCTGCTTGACTTTGCCACTACGCAGATCACGCAAGAACCGTTTCGGTTCTAGCGTCGACAGTTGAGTTATCTCCGAAGTTAACTTCGGAGGCGCAACCAGATCAAGCGTGTAAATGCCTACGCTTGATGCATCATTAACCAAGATATTCAGTGTCTCGATTACCTCCCGGGAAATCACTTCCACAGGATCCGGGTGAGCTTTCTCCACAATGTAGTGATCATCTACATTGTGTTCTTGTACAGTCGTGCTAACGACCGTACCACAAATGAGGCCATCGCACTCGCTTGTTGTACACCCACGTGAGTGTGGGCGTTTTAAGACATTCGTCAGGTGGTTATGTGAGGAACACGTGGCAGGTATCGTAATTGATCGATACTGCCAACTCACTCTTGGCTCGTATTTCCTGATCCAAGGCAACCCTAAGATGACGTCGAACTTGTCATGTAGGTCAAGCACGATGAAATTATCATCGTACTGTTCGCCTTTTAACGTGTAGTGGATTCAGACTACACGTTTCTTCACAGTGATCGATGCGCCTGTCGCTAGGCGCACCGTCATCTTCGTTGGAGGGATCTCCCGCTCCACGAAGTTAAAACTTCCTGCCTCTAGCGACTGGCGACGAACAAAACTGGTCGACGCCCCACAGTCAACTAGTGCGCGAAGTGACAAGTCTTTTGTCACTTCTAACTTCAAGGTGATGAGTGACACCTCATCACCAGGTGCAGATACACACAGAAATTGTGTGTCGGAAGCAACCTTCTTCAGGAGATTTGCAAATTCTCTCGATGTTGCTGGATCAGTGGGGCGCTCCTCCCCTGCTGATCCCGACCGTTTTTTTATGGTCCACCTTGATGTTGCGACTTCGCAACAGCAACGGACCCTCGCCCTCCAGTTCTTCTTGCTGGTGGGTGAACACAGCGCTCAGCACCGCGAGGTCCTGAGCGGGGGATACTGCATTCATATGCGTAGTGTCCCAGTTTATGACAGCGATGGCATCTCACCATTCGCTTGTCATTCGCAGGGCGAGGTTTCTCGCCCTCGATATTACAGAGGTCCATTGGCTCTGGACCTCTGACTGCTAATCGTCTCTGTGGACGATGCGGGGTCAACGTAGAGTGAGACTGTCTCACGCTATAATCTTCTTGTTCCGCTGCAAAGATTACTTCGGAGAGCGTCTTTATCTCTCCGCGGAACAGGTGGTCCCTAACGGGACCGTCTGAAAGCCCTTATATAAAGATTGTGATCAACACAAACTCACTCACAGGGTTCACTACCATGCAGCTTGCAAGGTAGCGTATATGTTGGGCGTAAGCGTGAACCTTACGCTTACCCTGCTTTATTTGCAGGAGCTCCGAAAGAGTCCTGAACTCTGCTCTGGGCGGTTCAAACGTTTCACTGAGCAGGGTCTTGAAGATCCTCAACGACCCAAACACATGTGGGTCGTGCAACTTGAGGTTCAGGGCCCAAGCTCTGGCTTCTCCTGCTAGGTTAGACTGAGCGAATGAGACTTGCATTCGCTCATCATCGATGCGACGAGCATCAATGGCATCGTCCAGCTCGACGAACCACCTCAAAAGGGAGTCTTCCTCGACTCCCCGATACTTGTAGACCTCTAGTTTTAGAGACTCCCGTCGACGCTCACGCGTCGGCTCTGCGGACTGAGACTGTTGTTGTCTCAGTGCTTCGGTCCGCTGGCGATCTTGTTGTTGTAACAAGGTCACCTGCGCTCGCGGCTCATCAAGTTCTCGTTGCAAGAACTTGCTAATGACGACATGTTGCTGGTCCCTATCCCTTGAGGATAGTATGGTCCAGATGGCTTCCTCGCCAACGGTCGAACTCATTCGTTCGATCGCACTCCATTCGATGTCGCTCAAATGGGAGTAGCTTTCACGGGTTCCGTGAAAGCTGTCGCCGTCTACATCGTCCAACATGTTCATGTTGGGCGATGGGATTGTGGTCCTTGGACGGACTACAAAGTGCTACCAGGTGTAACGGGGCACTGTTGACTACGTACTGGTTGACCAGTACGGTGTATACTTCCACTGACGACAGTGGTCGACAGTGCCCTGCTAGGTGTTTTAAGGAAACACAGAGGAAGGAAAGGAGACTGAGTAGTCAGACTAGTCTCTTGGTAAAAGTAAAACTGTATTGATATAATTAAGTCCTATAACTCCTTGAATCTCTGTTGTCCTGACTTAATTATACTAAAATAACTATATGTATGATGACGTCTACTCACCACCCATTGCGCGCGTCTAGCAGCGATTGGTGGGTTGATATCATCACGATATCAACCAATGAGTAGACCCTTCGGTCATCCCAACAATATCACCATGTCTTGTGATATTATTAAAAGAATATTCAACGTAATATTCTTTATTGTCAGATTGTTTTAATGACAATCTCATGTAACGGGCTACCCCATTACACATTATGTATGAAGTGAATACGGAGTGGGTGCTTTATACGGACAAGTACATGGACAGCTATATCATTTTCTCCAACAGCAACGATATGAATGGTCTGCTGCCTAAAGAACTGATAAAAATATAGTTACGGATCTGAGGGACACCGCTGTGGCTGCACAGCAGAAGGTTGAGGAAGTGGGTAGGCTACGGAAGGACCACACTGTAAGTCTGTTGCTGGATGTCTATTCCGTGCCTGGGATTCCAGGCGAGGCTATGGTTGTTGGGTTTTTGGAAGACGAGGCTATGGCTGAGCGAGTGAAGGACAGAGCCATTGCTGAGTTGCTGATGAAGCAGACAGGGATTATAGATGCAGCGGCGATCGTTTTCCATTCGTTTCGATCCTACCATACCGACTGGATGTTTCGCGCCGATAGGATACAGCAACAGTTGCTGAGTGTATCTTCAAAAGAAACAGAGAAGATAGCTTTCAATTTGTGCGTGGCGTCACATTTGAGCCCTGAAGACGTGTATCACATCATGCCGTTCGCATCGGAGGAACCTCTTGGTCCAGTGAAGGGAAGAACGGAGTTAGCGCGGGGCTATTTCTGCAACGATTTTAAGCAGTGGCTGAGATACGTCGATCTCTGCAATGGTGATACGATCAAAGTTGACCAGATCAAATTTGGTGACGCTAAGGTGGTTCGCGTGCTGAGGAGACGACACAAAAAAGAGCTGAAGTATTTGTTGCACGACCTTCGAAAGGAGCCTGGACGGGAAGAGCTTGTACATCTGTTACGAGTGGCGGCGTTGCGGAAAAAAGGTAGAAAACGCAGCACTCGGGTTAAGCACTAATCACCATTCGTACGCAGCCTTTTATTTTATACATTTACGGTTGAATAGTAGTAACAAAGCACAATGCGTACACCGGCATTAGCTGAGCTTGTACAAACGTCCTTTCGGTTGATCTTGCCACTTCTGGATGGGCATGTCAAACCCATAGTCAAAACGCAAAGCCGCACCGGGTCGCGTTTGATAAGCACCAGCAAGCAGGTCAAACTTGCCTGCTGGTCAACTTGCTATGTATCGCCATCCTCGCAGTTCGCTTTTTGTCGCGTAAGAGCATCAAGTCTACCCTGCTTGCCACTTGCACGGAGCACATCGAGCAAGAACAAGACTTCATGCGCAGGACATTGTCTTTTTTCAAAGAGCGCGCAAACTCCATCCGTCGCCGTGGACGACAGTGGGACGTGAGAAAAAGCGTGCTTTAGCCACGTGGTGTTGCTTGCAGGTGGATTATAGCTGAAGACTAGGGGATAGGATGTGTGGCACGTAGAGCTTGACGTTCGTGACAGTGCTCAGGAGGGCGATACTGCTCGCTTCACGTGGCAACAATGCTTTACACGAACTGACAGCTTGCGTTCCAGGAGCATCGCCTTGATTTGCTACAAAACTCTGACACACAAATGACACGAAGGACGTAGAGCTGCAGAGAAGATGCGATTGTTTCAAAACTTGCAAACCTCACCCAGACGTCTCGGCTGCACGAATGAAACTTTGAACCGCTTCAGCGAGCTATTGCAACGGGCGCGTGCAGCTAGAGATGCAGTAAGCGACACACGTTGATGCAGTGTAGCACTTATGTACCGATTTCGGAATGCATTCCAGCTGCCATCGCAGAGACGTCACCCAGTCCCCTGTCGACTTTGAGCCAAGCGCAACTCACCCGTCGACGAGAAAAATTCGATCGCTCTGTCCGACCAGTCGAATACATAACCCGACCGTCACGTCGATCACACCTGCGCTTCGATAGTACACCGCATCAGCTCTTTGGTTCCTCATCAACCTTTTTTTCAACAACAGCAGTACCTATAGTCGCGTATCTCAACTGCGGCGCGACACTGTCGACATTTCTCATGACTCGCCGACGATACCATCTTCTACATGTAAACAGACCTCTATGATCTGTTGCCGTTACTCGCGAGGTATGATGGACCGACACATTCAGTTGCACTCGCTCCTCTCTCCCTCTGCGGTTTTTTTTCAGAGAAAAAGCCATCCAACTCGATCTAACGACAAACTTCCAGACGTCGTTCACTTTTCTATACCTTGTTTGGTTTGTGTCGCAGGTCGTATTCGTCAGTGGTGTACTTCAGGACAATTATGTGGCACGTGTCCGAGTGACACCCCCCGTTGCAATCTGATTCGATCGACTTTCAAGGGGACTCCGATTCCACGCAGTGAGCGATTCCAAGTCCTACCACTTCTGTCGCGCTCCGAGCGGACCTTTGCACGTCAAACCGATGGCAGAGCAACTGGCAGCGTGCGCCCGGCAGCTGTTCGAGGGCGCATCTGGCAGTGAAGCCCAGCGCGCAGCCAACGCGTGGCTCATGCAGTTCCAGGGCCGTGAGGAAGCGTGGCAAGCAGCGCTGCAGCTGCTGGACCAGCTGCCTGCGAGCGACCCGATCGCGCACCGCGAATTGGACGCCCCGCAGCTCGTGGCCATGCAGATCCTGCGGCTCAAGACACAGCACGAGTGGGAGCGCCTTGGCGCGCAGCAGCAGCGACTCGTGCGGCAGGTCGGTCGTTGAAGATGGCGTACGGATAGGAAATCGAGATAAAGTGACGACCTGTTGTTGCTGTGGACGTGTCACACTTGAGACAGACCTTACTGCGACTGCTGGCGATCACGTGCGTGGCAGAACACGGTCTCTCAGCAGTGACTTGCCGCATTGCCTGCGTCACGTTAGCAGCTATTGTGGTCAAGTCAGGCAAGAGTTGGACAGAGTGGAAAAGTGAAGTGCAGAAGCTCGTGGACGCGGGTTTTGCCGCCCACAGACCTCATAAAGCAGCGATTGTGGTACATCTTGTACCGTCTGAGATTGCACTAAGCCTGTCACTGTCGTAGATGACGAGTATGCTGCAGTTGGCTAATGTTCTAGGAGCTATCCCGATCCAAATCTTGGCATCAGAGACAACGTGGACGACAGCAAAGCTGCAGGACGTCCTGACGGTTTTCCAAGCTGAAGCAGGGGATGTCATGACAGCAATGCAGATGATCCTGGCCAACGTGTAGGCTATGGCTGTATGTTGGACGACCTTGTTGGTGGTGTGGTGGTATTTCATGGCGATTGCAATACTCTAGACCACATGAAAGGAGCAGCGCTCTTTGCTGCTTGGAAAGCTGGATCGTGGGCTGCATACCGACGCACGAAACGTTTGGTCTCACCGCAGCACACCTATTCTCTCGGTATGGTGCGGTCTACAGTCAATCAATTGCAGGCGGGATTCAGTCAACGTGATTGTACCAAACTGACGCATATATCCCTGGCTGCGCAGTGGACTACTTGGCGAACTGTTCAATGTCGTCATCGGCGACAACGAGGGTCAGGCACAAGTGAGTTATCTACCTTTGCGACGAAGAGCAAGTACTGACATTTTCATACGTAGCTAGCAGCAGGAGTTATTGCGGATTCTTTTCTGTGCAACGTATCTGACGCTGGGGCCGAAAGTATGGCTGAGACAGTGTTGTACGCCGGCCGCCGTTTGGTTGAAGCGTTGCCGATACTTCAATTGGAAACACGGTTTCCGACGGGTAACATCACGACGAAAGAGCAACAGATGAGCGCTTGCAGGGGTTTGTCACGCATCGCTTGCTGTCTAGCTATGCACCATGCGACTGTGCTGTTTTCACATCGGGTGGCAGACACTCCAGTGTTGATTAGGAGTCCTGCACCGGAGCGGCAAAGCTTTTGCATCAGCTTTTTGGAACTGCTTCTAGCGTGCTCATCGCACGAAGACATTGCCGTCGCGCAGCCTACGTTGGAGATCTGGTTCTTCTTCCTCGAGCCAAATGCGTCACGAAATGAGATGTCGTGGCAACTTCTAGATGACGCGGGAAAAACGCATGCGGTCAGCGTGCTTTCACGTTTGGTTCACGCGCTTATTAGGCAGTGCAAGTACCCTCAGTGGTTTATTGACAAACAGGAAATTGTGAGCGATGACCCAGAAATTGATGCGATTGTGAACTTGCGCAGGTAAGATTGTGTGAATGGTGGAGACGTACGTATGTGCAAGTATCGATTGTGGTCTCACAAAATGTGTATGTGGGCTCAGGGAAATCGCAGACACATTGCTCAGTCTTTTCTCCAAATGGCCAGGACGCTCTGGGGAGTCTGCTGGGGACTATTCATCGTGTGTGAAGGGCGTATGCCAGATGCTTGTGGACTGCACGGACGTCGCAGCGATTGATGCGCTTTTCTATTTGCTTTCGTCCACGGTTGAGTTATTTGATACTGGATCGTCGGACTCGATATCTGGAGACGACCCCAGCTCGTTCGAAGCTGTTGCATCAGGCGGACTCGGTCTTCTGTTGGGGGTGCTCGATTGCGCTGCCAATCTGCCCATGCACCCTTTAGTGGTCAACGGTGTTGCAAGGTATGGATCGCCGATTGACAGCTTGAGACGTGCCTGTCCGACTAAGCGCTCGTTTTGGATAGGTATTTTGGCTCACTGAGTGCCTCACTGGTATTGCCACCTAGTGCATACCTTCGTGCTTCAATGATCATGTGTGAAGGACTTCAGTGTGCTCCTGCTATCCCAGTAGCGGCCCAGTCGCTGCTGCATAGCAGCTTCTCGATGACGTAAGTAGTGGCAAAAGGTTTGCGTCCTGGACAACTCTCACTTCTTGCTGAGCAGCGAGTGCACAACTATCGAGGACAGAACGCCGTTACTGCGAGCGCTGCTTCGATTTCGCACCGCGCATCAGCTCAAAACGTCTCAAAAAAGCGAGGGCGATCTGCTTGAAGCGACGTTCCGTGTTGCATATGGCTTAACCGACACAGGTGCGCGCGAAAAAGTGGATACATGTATGCAAACTTTCTCACTCTGTTTGATGCCGTGGACGTGTAGACCTTGGTGCTCTATGTTCATCAGTTTTGGCCGACTTTGCCGTTGGTGTGCAAAGCGCAAATCCGGATGAGGTTTCCAGTAGCGTTTACATGTTGGGTCGAGCTCTCGCGGGTGTTCAAGACCAGCAGCATGGGTCCGTATTGGCAGACCAGCTGTGGCCTCTCGTGAGTCCTTCTCTAGTGCAGCACAGCGCGAATAGCGCCTGCCGGCGCGCGGGCGTTCAGTTTTTCCTCAGCGTTATTCCTCGTCTACAAACGACATCACCTCCTGCGATTGAAGCACAAATGCTGGACATGTGTGTTTGGTGGTATGAGAAGGAATTGGCTCCCGACGTTCTCACGTGCTGTTCTCGACTGATCTCGCGCCGACGAGGCAACCCAGGCTTCCAAGCGTTACTTGAGCACGCATTTGAGGTTCGGAAAAGCGGGATCGTTTCCGGGTCTGCACTACTAACTTGTTCCGTTTGCTATTGCAGCGACTCCTTGCTGAGTTTCGGGTCAAGCTTCACGATGTCAAAACGAGTTGCGGTACACTCTCGGTCGATAGCTCACTTTTCCACAATCGTGACACAGACAAGCTGATTCCAGAGGTTGAGCAGTTCCTGAACTTGACGCGGGAGGTCTTGAATTCTTTTCCGCAAGTTCTGCTGCAAAAGCGTCCAAACGGGGAACCTACTTTGTATTGGATCTGTCTGGATCTGGCAACGAGGCTTGTAAAAGTGGATCATCAGGTAAGGGCCTTGTCGCTGCTGACTGGAGGGGGCGTCCGTTTAACTGACGAACGTTTGGCGCACGTGATTTCGATTGCGAAGATGCAAGAAATCTATGATGCTGCGTGTGCTTTTCTACTGGATGTGATGCGTTGTCAACCCGAGCAAATCGTCGAACGGATAAGCACTTTTGCCCCGGAAGTCGTCGGGGTTATCCTGAGTTTCTTGGAACCCAAGAGAGAGCGTCATCGCACCCGGAGTCTCTGGGATTTCCTGTTTCAGTGTTTGCATGCGCCACAGATACCGATGCAAATCCGAGGTGAGTACCATGCATTGCGTTTGCCTGAGCGGAGTGACCTGATTGCTTTTGGTTGCGTTGTTTCCAGAGGGCTTTCTCTCTGCCGTCTCCACTGTAATGAGTGAAGGTGCTCTCAGCTCTTTCTTTGCTGCAGAAGTGTGCCAACAGATGCCTAGTGAACTGCGAATGCGTTGTCAGCGGCATCGCTTCCGGCAGTATTTTTCTCAATTAGCTCAATGCGTGCAAGTGACCTCCAGCTCATAAGTCTTGCACGTGTAGGATGGAAGAGGGTTGTCGTGTTGTGCTCACTTTGCTCATTGTGCAGGCCAACTAGTCTTGGCTCAGTAAAGATGACGAAGGACATGTGTTCGCTTGACTTGTAACGCAATATACTGCACGAGCCATTTGCTGCCACCAATGTCACAACCGAGTCGTTCAGTTACGTCTGCCTTGCCACGACGGTACTCTCCATTGCGCCAACTTGTGTCAGATTCGTGGATTGAAATAGCATTGCATGGCAGCTCAAATTGCGGCCCGTTACTTGCGAGCACAGTTAGATGAAGTTGCTGTTCAAAGCCCGCGCCTTTGCCTCTTCCGGCTTCGTACTTTTGTAAGAACTGAGTCATGACAGAGCCAACTCGTGTCTGCATACAGACAATCTCTGATCGTCTCCTCGTGCTGCATCTGAAAATCTCTGATCGTCTCCTCATGCCGCATCTGACTGAATCATTGCCAGCTCTTCATCTTGTTCGAGAAACAATTCGCACAACTGGCAACTGACATTTGTCGCGAATGTTCACTTCTCGATAAACAATCGACTGGTATTGCGCAGTATCGCTCTTACTCATCCGTTTCGTTCATAGCAGTCGATACCCGTCGAACTCCGTTTGCGTAACGTGTCACGGAACACGTACCATACCATCCGCAGAGGGTCCGCGAAAAAATTACGCAAAACATCGACAGGAACGGTGGATAGGCATCAGTCGCTTGTATCGCGAGAAACGGTCTGGCGCGAATCATGTCCGCATCAGGCGACCGGTTCGGTCGCTGCATACCGCATGTATTGTTCCAGTGGCTGTAGGTCGCCGTCGTGAAGTAACAAAGTTGCCTTTGGATGTGCGGTCTGGACCGAGTTCGTAGTGTTAGCGGTAGACCGAACCGCGAAGCGTTGAGATGCTCAACTTGGGAGTAATCTTGAGATTGCAATAGCGGACGGATGACGTAACATGTTTGGCAAACCAGCGTATACGTATGTCGCCCACGAAAGAGAGCAGCCGCCCGATATGGAGTGTATATACAGACCCCCCCCCTCCCCTCGATGCAATTAGACAGTGTGCTTACAATCGGTGATAGGATGACGCTCGACTCGATTAAGTACCGCCTGCCCACAACATAGCCCAACGTAATCCGTCCAATCCTGCAAAACGCGGGCCCAAACACGACAACGACCACCCGGTGTCGGCACAACAACACCCCACCCCACCCACTCTAATTTGCCACGACCAACATCGACCACGCCAGGTCGACTCCCTCGAGCCAGGGCGGGACCTCCCTCTCGTTAGTCATCCCCCCACCCCTCCTCCTCCTCTACTGTCATCCCACCCGCATCCCCTCTCAAACGTGATATCCCCCACCCGTCCCCGTGTCCGCCCCCGTCTCGTTCCGCCCCCAATGACTGCGCCCGAGTCGCCTTCACAAGTGCCTCCGCGTCCCCCGCCGCTGCTCCGCCGCCACGACGCGCCCCCACACGTCCACTCGCCGCCGGTCGCGCAGTTTGGCGCTGTCGCCACGCGCGCCGACGTGCGCGCGCAGCTGCGCGCGCGCTACGGCCGCCCAGCGCCATTCGTGACGGAACTGACGCTGCGCGTGGACACAGAGCTCGAACTGCTGCGGCGGCGCTGCTTTGCCCAGCGCAACGCCCAGTGGACGAACGCGACGCCCGATCAGGTGGCGCTGCAGCCGCTGCCGTGCGGCACGTGGCGACGCGACGCCGCTCGAGCGCACGATGGGGAGCACCGCAAGCGCCGCAAGACGGACAGCAAAGGGCTTCTCGAGACAGCTGCTGCTGCTGCAGTGGGAGGGGCAGTGGCCGCAGTGGGAGGGGCAGTGCTCGAGACGCCGGCGGAGAGCGACACGTTTGTGCGCGAGCGGCCGTGGCCGCCCCGGGAGTTTGCTGGCAAACCTGTGGCGAAACCCGCGCGGGGGAGAGGGGGAAAGCGCAAAGCGCTGCCGATGGGTGCGGTGCTGGAGCCCGTTCCGCGCGTGGCCAAAGTGTGTCGCGCGTGTCGGACGCAGTCGACGCCGTTGTGGCGGACAGTGCCGTTGCACGAGATGGACAGTGACGATGCCGGTGCCGATGCAGTGGGGACGGGTGCAGTGGCATTGACGCCGATCAATGGGGGGCAGCGCGGGGGGCAGCTGACGAGTGGAATAGCGGGAGACGACGGCACGCAGCCGCAAAAGGGGGCCGAAAGCGTGGCGCTGTGCCTCGCGTGCTACCTCAAGCTCGAACGAGCGGATCTGTTTGCGAAGAAACGGACCGACAGGACGAGGGACGAGCGCCGGAAGCAGGAGCAAGCAGCGGCAGCTGCGCTGCAGGAGAAGAGGCGGCTGAAGCAACAGACGCAGTCGCTGAAGAAGCAGCAGCAGCAGCAGCAGTTGCAGGAGAAGAAACACAAGAAGCAGGACGGTGTGGGCGTGCAACTGGTGCTTGATGATGAAACAGTGGATGAGCGTGTACCTGAAGCTGGTGCAGCTTCTGATGCACAGAGCTTTGCGGTCGCGAAGGAGGAAGTCGATGTTGCAACGGAGCCATGGAAGGACAAGAAGAAGGACCGGAAGCATAGTCACAAGGACAAGAAGAAGAAGAAGAAGCATCGTCGCAAGGTCGATGAGCTAGACGACCTGGAAAGCGATGGCTTGACCCCGGTGCCATCTCCTGCGCAGATGAATGGCCATGTGTACGCAGATCGAAGCCCGGAGGTATACGCCAATCCACCGGTTTCAGCGCTCGAGACGGACCGAGCGAGCTCGAAAAACCGACCTGCGGATCCTGTGGCGGCTGAAGCAGAGTCAGAAGTGCCAGACGATGTTCTCGACGATCCTAAAGACGAAGCGGTATCTGCTGCTACTGCAAGGTCATCGTCCCGAAAGCGCAAGAGCGCCCAACGAACCGAGCCGGGTGTATTGGCTGAATCTCCCGTGTCTGCGCCTAAAAAGCGCAGCACGTCTTTGTCCAGGGCCTCACGCTTAAAACAGACACCTGCACGTGCAACGACGCCGGTGCCTAGTGTCGGTGCTGTATCCCCGGCCGCTTCTGTGAAGAAACGATTGCGCACGAAAAAAGAGTCGGCGCACGAGCGTGAGCTACGCGCTCTGGGCCAGTACTGCCCCGTCTGCAACGAAGTATACGAGGACGACGATCCGAACACATTTGTCTGCTGCGACTCGTGCGAGCTCTGGGTGCACGGTGCCTGTGATCCGACTCTGACACAGTACGTGGTGGTGTTGTGGTGTTATTTTATCGTTTGACCAGGAACTCACGTTTGTCGCTGCTTTGGTACAGGGAACTGATTGCAGCTATGGCGAACACGGACGACAAGTACGTTTGTCCTTTGTGTGCTGGGCGGTGAAGCTGTTGCCCTGGGCTCAGGATGAAGATAGAAGAAGCAAAGGAAGAAGGGGCAGCGCTCGACTGGCCAGCCCGGGACGGTAGAGCTGCAACTGTGATAATAGACACCGACAGACAAACGGCTGACACACGAATCGGCGGCTGTCTCGTTCCTGCTATTCCATTCGACGTCTGCATTCATTGACCTGCTTGGAAGGGAAGAATGGGACACTGATTCGGGCTTGAAAAGCAGCAAGAAATAACGTCACAGGAACGGTACGAACAGGGACCGTGACGAATTGCGACACAACCAAAAGGAACGGAAGCACCAAAAGGAGAACGTGACTACTGCACCCACGGGCGCACTCCACAGAGATCGAGCGCCTGATACCGTGTTGAAGACCCGATACCCATTACTCGGACTCGATCTCGTTTCCAGGTCAGGATTCGAAAGCAGGCGACAAGACCCCCCAAGTGTGGTAGTACTTGGTGAGCAGTACCTTCACGTATGGTCCATCCATAGCAAACATTGCCAACTTCCGACAGAGCCATCAACGTGTTCGAGTCGAAGCTGACCATCCAGACGAGTCACTCCACTCGACAAGAGGAAGACAGCATCACCACAGTCTCCTGCAACTTGTCCAGTATGCAAACGTAAAGTCACGACGGGCAAACGAGAGCTCGCACGCAGCAGACGCGATGGCAATCAAATGGGGTCAAAAGTGGTCCCATGTACTGAACTCAACTTGGTACATGTTTAACACCGTCTCAATGGTCGTGACACCACGTACTTGTCAAGGTCCTCCTCGTCTGTGTGGGTGTGTCGCTTCGTACCCCTTTTGTCGGATGGTTACACATTGGGGTACACCACCCGTCTCCACCAGTCAAAACCGCAATGGCAGCTCGTCGTGCACTCCACCGGAGCTTCTCCACCGCAACTTCGCGTAAGGGTACGACCGCAATCACTTGTGCTCTATCGATCGATTGATTGATCGATCGATCTGCCGCACTCTCGTTCTCTCGCTTTGCGTTGGCCCGCAGCACTCTTCTGACTACTGTATCGATATCTCTGTGTGTGCGTGTGTGTGCTTTTTTCTTTCTTCCTGCAGAGTACCCGACGTCGTTCCTCTCGCACCTTCGCACGCAGAAGCTCAATGTGTTCAACATCGGCGTCGCGTTCATGACGCTGTCGCTGTCGTCGCAGATGGTGTCGTACAAACAGCGCTACGAAACAGCGCGAGAGGAGAAGCAGCAGCTCAGTGAGCGGGTCGAGGCGCTCGAGACGCTCGTGCTCGATCTGGGCGGCGTGCTACCCGACGCGCAGGCGCGGAACAGAGCTGATGCAGCAGCTTCACAGCAGACGACGCAAAGCCAGGCACTCTGTGATCGCGAGGACGAGGCTAAGGCTCTTGCGGCCCTGGCAACGGACGGCAAGGCGAGCAAGGCCGTTAAGCTCATTTAGGCTCGCGCAAAGAGCCCACTGGCGCTGTGTTCTCGGTCATCGTTGAAGACCGTCAATGCCAGCCACGAAACGTCAAAGCCGAGCGACACTTCAATGGTAAACAGCTCTGTTGTTGTTCGTGTAGACTGGTCACGCGCGCTGGGCTACGTAAGTCGGTGGCGCGCAGCGTGTTTCGCCATTGCCTTGTCATTTCTTGATGGCGGCTTGAGTCAGTGAACGTCTGGACGAGAGGCTGTCCAGGCGGTTCATCTCGTTCACCGCCGTCAGGACCTCGTTGATGTTGGTCTCCAGTACCATTCCGCCCATGACGATCTCGTCCAGCGCATAGTGGATCTTGTCGCTGTGGAAGATCAGATCGAGCTCGCACACGTTTTCAAAGATCTTGTCGAGCGTCTCCACAAACACTGCGTCACGATCAGTCAGTCAGTCAGCTGCATCAGTGCCCACGCACGCCAAGAGCCCCTCAGCATGTCAGTAGTACACCAACACCCACATACCTTGAATCAGATCCAGTATCCCCAGATCGCTCTCCTGTTTGTCGACCGCAAAGACAAAGTACAGCGTCGCATAGTGCCGGTAAATGAGCTTCACGCCGTCGCCCCAATACCGCACGCTGCATACGCCGCACGAAAAAACGGCACTCGTCAGCAAAACTTGTCCACACACTCGCACACAAATGCGTCCTATCGACACGAGAGAGAGAGAGAGAGAGAGAGAGAGAGTGAAGAACCGCAGGGCTGCACGAGTGCATACGTACGTGCCCTCCAGAAAGTTACACAGCGTGTCGGGCCGCTTGGACACTTGCGCGTAAATGTCTCGAATCACAGCCTGCTGCTCTGCATCGGGCTACCCATTGCACAACACCAACATACGATAACAACCACAACAACAACAACAACAATAGCAACAACAACAACAACAACAACAACAACAACAATAACAACAACAACAGTAGCAGTTCATTCAGTCCTCCCCCACCATCTCTCACCACTGTGTCTCTCTATTGACAGTGCACATGTGCCTAGTTGTCCACCCACGTACCACGTGCTCGTAGAACTTGACAATGCGTGGCTTGCCGTGATTATTGACGATCAAGATGCCCTTAATCATCTTCTCAGGCCCAGGCACAGGTCCTCTGTTTCTACCTCTCTATGCCGCTCTTTGTACCGCCTGATATGTGGCTCTCCACTGCGCTACTTCACTGCGATGTAACAATGAGCTCCTCCTATGGGGTTTTATACGTGCGCTCGTGCCGGTCCTCGCTTTGCTCACACGACGGTCGCGTGTGGCCCGTCAACGCCTCTGATTGGCTGAAACGCGTTGAAATGCACGAATCACCGCAAGTCACTCGAGTGAACACATGACGGAAAGTGGCCACACTCGCGTCGCAGCAGCAGCGGCTCTGCGGCGGCCTACGACGTCGTACTACTTTGGCCGCGAGACGGCCGCCGCACGAGAGCGACGTCGACGTCTGTCTCAAGCAGATGGCCGAAGTTCCGAGCGATCGGACGCCGTCGAGCGAGTAGCAGCAGCAGCAGAAGAAGATGAAGAAGACGAAGAAGAAGACGAAGAAGAAGAAGCGACGCAGATCCCGATCGAGGACCAAGTGACGCAGGAGCTGCAGGCGACGGAGCGAGACACGAGTCCGCCGCCCATTGCGAGACGTGCGTCGATCACGTCGCCGCCGCTGCCCCGGGCCGAAGCGCTGGCGGGATCGCCGCTGGGACCGATTGCTGCGAACATGTCGCCGTTTGCAGACGTCGAGTCGACGCCACAGTCGAACGAAGATGACGACTCGAGGTCCGAGACGTCGTCAGAGGTCAGCACAGGCTCTGGACGTCCGGGGCGACGACGAGGGGCGAGAGCGTGCGTGACGCTGTCGTGTGCAGACCATCGGGATCTCTCGGATCGATTGAAGAAGGCTGTGGTGTGGGGACGAGACGGAGAAGAGCGCTTTGGTGAGTCTATGATTGGCGCAGATGTGATTTTGTGTGTGCAGCGCAGTGGCGATCAACGGGACGCTCGTGAAGAGGGAAACGCTGGAAGGCACGACGGCGACGACAGCCACAGGAAAGAAGGTATTCGCAGATTCTATGCGCATCGGTTTATTCTAGCTGCAAGCTCGCCGCCGTTTCGTGCGATGCTGACTGGCAACATGCGCGAGTCGTCGCGGCGCGATGTGGAGCTACACGATATTGAGTCTACGGTTGTGGAGAAGATGCTGGTTTTTATGTATACGGGCGACGTGGTGCTGGATCTCAAAAGTGTGTTGGGGCTGCTGATTGCTGCAGAGATGTACGAACTGGTTGCGCTGCGAGAAATGTGCAAAGGCTTTGTGCTGAAGTACGCGCACGAAGTGTTTTGTGACCCGCAAGTCGTGCAACTACCAGAAAAGATTTTGCTGGAACTTATCCCTCAGGACGAATTACAGATCCGAGAGCTGGCGCTCATGGAGGCCCTTGTGATGTGGGGCGAGTCCCGTGTTGCCAATGCCGATAAACCAATCGGTGAGTTGTTGGCGGACATGATGGAGTTTGTGCGCTTTCCAACAATGAGCGTCAGCGATCTGTACGGCAAAGTTCGGCCGCTAGTCAACGATGGAGTTATCCGCGAACATCTCCTGACCGAAGCTCTGTTCTACCATTTGAAGTGGGGATCACAAACTGGCATCTCGGCGAAGCGCGCCAAACCGCGTGCACTCGCAGCCTCGCTGCGCAAGCGGAAGCGCGTATCGTTCACGCAGCATGTCACATTTGAGACAGTAACGCAAGGAAATGAAGAATAAAGCGGGTCTGTTTATTTGGCAACTCACTTACATTGATGCACTCATCCTCCCCAAAGCGTAGCAACAGAGCCTGCTGTGCTACCGTCGGGCGCAACCGAGCTTTTTACCCTTCCGCTGTTCGTCAGTCGACACGGTCACTGTCCGATGGATCAGCGTACTATCACAACATATTTGCAGGTGTGCCAGCCACTGATCCAGTTTATACATCATGCGGTGACTGCTCTGACGACGCAGGCTGTTTACACCACTTGGGACAGCATTGTGACGAAGCCAACGGGTTTGCCTCGAACGCCGCGTACCGGACACAACTCTTTCGCCGGACGATGAGCGCGAATGAGCTGACAATGTTTGCAGTCCTGTAAGAGCCGTGGATGAGAGAACGCGTGCCCAATTAGTCGTATTCGCTCATGCTCATGCTGGCCTCGATCGAGTATTCGCTTTGCGACACGTCCAAGAAAGAGCTCAAGATCTGCCAATCCAGACGCGCAACACCAATCAGGTTCACTGCGTCTCCATTGAGCGGTCTTTCGGTTGAACGTTCTTGCAGTTGCAAAGAAACAGTCGAGGTCGTCGTCCGTCTAATGATGCAGCAAACGAGTTAGCCACAGGCGGCCGTCAACATCAAAGTCATCAGCCGCTTACTCCGTGTCGATGGAACCACGCAGCTTTTTGCAGGTAAGCCAGAATGTCCCCAGTGCTTGACATGCGTAGCAGTGGAGTCTGTGCACGACGCAGCTGCTTAAAAAGCCAATCGAGTCGAGCAACACGCATCGGGCACCGCAACAAGAAACTCGATGGTACTGGAGATAGCCACACAAGTCTGGAAAAACGCTTACCAGCCAAACTCAACGAACATGTCCAGGACAGCAATGACGCAGCGGTGGGGAAACAAGTCGGACTTGGCAAACAGCGTCAACATCAGCTGCAGCCATGCAAACAATGTCAATTGTACAGCAGCAATCACAACGACATCTCCGCTCCGTGTCAATCGACAGCGGTGGTGGCAGACAGCCACCGAGTGGCAACAACACCACACGCGGCACGGACACTGCAACGTCGAGCAGCACGAAAGACATGGCACGCCACTTGGCAAGATCAGCAGAACGAAAGCGACGGCTCTATTGCATGGGACCCGTGGGGCACTGAAGTGGGTACACTCGACGACGACATCTGTGCCATGCGATGGGTGGGTGATTAGTTGCTGCTTGACAAGTCCCCCGTGGTGGGATAATTCTGCACCGTATCAGGTGTAGACCCTTTGCGGGGAATAAATTGTTATGCAGATGCCCCATCGTGGTCAGCCCCGTCCTCCGAATTGTTATCATCAGCAGCGGCGTCGGCAGTAGCCGTCTCGTCGCATTCGACTTCATGGTCAGATTCTCCTTCGTCTTCTTCGGTGACCAAACCGGTTTGCCACAGTTGACGACCTGCGCGCATCGAACCGCATACAATGTCAGTTGGTTGCAACGTATCGCTCTTGTGCATGCAATCCAGAGAGAACACACGCAAGGAGTGAGATCGCTGCGGTTGCAGTGTACCTGTAAGTTTTGCAGTCGCCTCGTCTTTGAGCGACACTTTCTTCGTGCTTTGCATCTCGACAGTGAACTTTTCCTTCCAAGCAGCAAACGTCTCCACCGTCACTGGTGTGCCTGCAGAGAGAGACGACAGCAGTCCAAACAACAACAAGACAGCCGTCAATGGACGACTGAACACCACACACCATTGCGGTGTCGATGTCGCAGCAAACAGGTGCTACGCTTACCGTGAACTTCGCGCTGGTTCAGCTCCTCATCGGCAGTGGCCTGTACAAAACGCAGTGGTTGAAACGACGTGGCGTCAGAAGCTGCAAACTCGTATTGCGTTGCATTGACCCGTCACGTCACCCGCGTACCTGCTCAAGTTTGTTCGCTTCGACCTTCTCCTCGGTCTTCTTCTTCTGTTCCATCCGACGTAACATCTCCTGGTGCTCCGATCCATCCTACACAAGCGCCAAAACAAGTTCGCAAGCACAAAGTGAGACAAACACGCGACGTCCGTCCCGACTGGAAACGGATCGACCAACGAGCACCGTACATTCCCCTCGCGGTTGTTGTCGACCAAATACTCCCGCACGGCCTCCGACAGCGTGTACATCATGGCCATCCCCATGTTCTCGTTCACCTGCTGATCGAGCAAGTCCTTGACCTCCTTCACTTGTCGGTCTGCCAAGCCCTTCTCCACGACAACCTCAAGCTACACACCAAAATACCGCCAAGAAACAACCGCGTGACCAGTCAGTCCATCACCAGTCTTCCAACTGACCGCCAGCAGCAGTAGCCCCAACCTTTGGCATCGCATCTGGGTACGTCTCTGGAATCTCAGCCTTGAGCAGCAATGCCACTGCTCTCACATTGCAGTCGGCATCAGTCCATGTTCATATCCACCAGTCACCACCTCTGTCAGCACAAGAAAACCCTCTGCAAGTAGCAGCCACCTCAACGAATCGACGGCTCGACGCGCACCAAAGTTATTCTCGCCGTCCTGATTGGGCACCACGTGCACTTGGTAGACCAGCGGCACTTCCGACAGCTCTGTCGTATCGAGAGATCCACCAAACACACACACAAAAGTCACGAGTCCACACATGCCCCAGTTAGTATCCACTGCTCTCTGTTGCAACAGGGCGAAGAACTACGTTTGCGTACTGGTAAAGTCGTCCATATAGATCGCCTCGAGCGCTTCGACTTCCATCGCCTGTTCCTCCCTATAATCTGTTCCCGCATCAAACCAAACGACAAACGCCATACAACCACAACAAGAGATTACGACCCGTTGCCTCCACCTCAAACCAATACGAACAGTAACAATAATAGTAACGCGACTCCTACTACTACTACTACTATTGCGACTATGACGACTACTACTAAGGCATCAAAGTCGTGTCCAGCCAACGCCCCAATCGGTCGTACCAGTCATTTTCAGCTCTACCGAAGGCGCTCCTTGCGCCACTTTGAGACTGTCGTTGATTGGCTGCAATTCACACCCCAAACCATCTGAGCCAAAAGCGCTGCGAGTATGGACGATGTCGATAAGCGGACCAAAGAGGCGTTCGTCGCTGGGCTCGCAGGCACGAGCGCGCGCGAAGTGTTCCTCGTGTTTGCAATTGCTCCAGTGCGTCGTACTGCAGTGTATTGAAGCGGCTGTCGCTGCGCAGAGTGCCTCGGAATTGAACGTGGGACGGACGAACTCAATTGATTCGCTATGGTGTATCGGTGGTGGCGTTGTTGGCGTATTGCGTGCAGGGAACGGTATGGCTCTACTCGGAGCTGCTGCTGCTGCTGCTGGACATCGTGGGTCGCAATGAGCGCTCAAGTGTCCACAAGCTGGTGCGGTTTGTTGTGCATGAGACAAGCGGAGAGGGGTGCACATGGATGTAATGGGATGCAATGGACCTCCTCGTGGCAGCATCTGGTGCAGCAGATCTTGCTCGAGTTTGCCGTGACGGTCGTGCCCACGATGATCGGGTTCACCTTTACCGAGTATGCCGTGCCGCTGCTTGCAACGGTGTACTGCTTCGCGGCACTGTTGTGCGCATTGTCGCGGATTCATGCCAACGCGAGCATGCACAAACACTGCAGAAAGGAAAAGATGAACCAGCTCCTTGGCAAAGAGCTGCCGTTCTTGACCAACTTTCGAGCGCAAATCATGCTCTCCACGTACGTCTGTAGTAGTAGTAGTAGTGGTGGTGGTGCAGTGGAAAAACGCAACGACGTGACGTACGCTGTCATTACGATGCAGGTGCTTTGCTATCCTTGCCGTTGATTTCACCATCTTTCCCCGTCGCTTTGCCAAGACGGAAAACTATGGCTATAGCGTGGTAAGTTGAGCTGTCTTTTCCATTCCATCGCTTACGATGCTCACGATATAGCACGAACTGCTCACGCGGGGGTGACTGTGGCCGTTTAGATGGACATTGGAGTCGGAGCGTTCATCCTTTCATCGGCGATCGTGTCAGCACCTGCTCGTCAAGGCCGCGCTAGTATCATGACAAAGAGGTACATAGTAAATGCATTGTGGAGTTGTGCAACCATTTGCTCATGCCCGAAGTTTGCCGTTGACATAGGTCCCAGTCTGGACACAAGTCTTCGCAAGGTTTTGCACAGAGATGCTATGACTTTCTTCGACCCGTTGCGCTGGTCCTTGTCTTCGGCATAGCAAGATTCCTGGCTGTCAAGGGCGTAAACTACCAGGTATGATCATTGGCCTGCGTCGTCGCACAAGCTGCCATTGATCGTATCTGTATGGATTATAGGAGCACGTGTCTGAGTACGGCGTGCACTGGAACTTCTACTTTACCTTAGCGGGTGTGTACTTGATGTACTCTTTCCTGCGTGCGTTTGGCAACTGGGCGACAAGCCCTGTGGTCGCTCTCTCGATTGCTTTGGGTACGTAGATCTTGTGTGGAGGTGAAAGCGCATGCATGTGTGTGCCTCTTTCTGATCGTTGTGATGATGCCAACGCGACAGGTTACCAAGTGTATCTTTCCCGATATGGTGGTGAAGAGTACATTCTGCATGCACCCCGAGATGACCTGATGGGCCAAAATCGCGAAGGGATTCTGAGCCTGGCGGGTAAGCAGTCGAACGGAGGTGCACAAGAGGCATGATCCGACACAAGTCACGTTGCTCTGCTCTGCTTCTTGTTTGTAGGTTATACTTCCCTTTACATGCTTTCTGTCACTGCGGGCCAACGCATTTTTGCCTGCATCGATGCGAACGGGTCAAAAGCTCAGCGCAACATGAGGTGGCTCGTGCTCACGCTCGTTGCTGTCACTGTGATATTGTGGCTGTCGACGTACTTGTCCGTTCGACTTGTCGCTCGTCCATCGCGTCGAATGGTGAGCAGCTTTTGCCATGCACTACGTAGATTGACAGTGCAACGTGGACACATGTACCGCACGCACCTGACCACCGTTTCTGCTTCTGGTTTCTGTAGCTGAACATGTCGTATCTGTTGTGGGTCCTCGCCGAGTCGGCGTTCTTGCTGGCGATCTACTGCGTCATCCAAACTGTCTGGTACGTGATCGTTGTTCACTCTCTTTCTCTCTCTCTCTCTCTGCATCACAGCAAAGCGATCTCACGCGCGCTTTTTTTCTGATCACACAGTATGCTACCACGAGTTCCACTGCTGTTCCAGGGCATTAACCATAACCAGCTCTTCGTCTTTGTGGTGGTGAGCTGTTTGCTTCTGGTGCAGTTGGTGCAGCACCGCATAGCAAACTGCTAACAATGAATTGTGTCCGAGCAGGCCAACTTGATGACGGGAGCGGTGAACCTGAGCATGCACACGATCGATACAGAGCCCATTGGTGCTGCTGCAGTGCTGCTGGTCTATATGCTGGTGGTCTGCGTGCTCGCTTCGGTGCTCCAGCACGCGCATGTCCGCATCAAGCTGTAATGTAGCCATGTGTGTGTTGGCTCACTGACGCGCAAGGTATCCGGTATCACGGGCACCGAAGCAGTATCTGATTCGCTCTCTTTGCAGCTTTAGAGCATATGATGCAACTAACGGCAATCGATCGAGACGGCACGAACACGGAAGAAGCACACCGTCTTGCCGCCGTGACCGGCGCGTGGACTAGAAAAGATATCAAATCGTCCGCACGTGGCGGCATCAGAGCAGCGTGGACAGCCAGCCACACATTTTCGCGGCACTTGTTGTTTCGCATATTTATGCATTTTCAGCTCGTTGTCCGCTCGCTGTTCGGCTGTATCGAAACTGTCACACTGAATACCTCGCACAACCTGCTCGCTTTCACATCGCGTCGCGGTACAGCTCCACGACCAGCAGCAGCAGCTTTGCATCTCCTCTCGACACGACATATCCCATGTAACGGAATACACTCCGCGCGTCACCTGCACCTGTCAAAACCGTTTGTCTCGCGCGGCGCTGCTCGCTGTCCTCACTCTTTGATTTGCGTCCTCGGAACCAGAGCGAACGAGCGAACGAGCGACTGGTTGGAAGATACCGACCAATCCGTCGGCCCACAGACCCACACCCCGTGCGCCGACCGCCTCGTCCTCGATCCACTCTCCCGTCTCCACAGCTGCAATGGCTCCCATTGAGACCGACAAGGCGCTGTTCACCAATGGTATGTGTGTGTAGTGCGTAGTGCGTAGTGCGTACGTACGTACCCCTTCCACTCGTGTCGTACCGACCACGCGACTCACTTCTTCCCATACCAATGGGTGTCTCGCCTTGTTACGACTCGTAGAGGGACTGTACCACCGCAAAGAAGCTGCATGTGCCACCAGTACCACCAGTCAAGACGACGCGGCGACGTACACGTGGCAGGACGTAGCCAAACACAACACAGCTGCGAGCGCGTGGGTCATTATCCGCGGTGTGGTCTACGACGTCACAGGTACGCGCTACCCGACGACCTACCGACCCATTTCTCCTTCTTCCGCACTGGTCCATGTGTCCTGTGCTGACCTGATACGATGTCGTTCTGTGCTGTCTGTCTGTCTGTCTGTCTGTCTGTCTGTCTTCTACATCACTAGAATGGGCCGACCGCCACCCTGGTGGCCGCGAGCTCGTGCTGCTCCACTCTGGACGCGAGTGCACGAACACGTTCGACTCGTACCATCCGTTTTCCGACCGGGCGGACAAGATCTTGGCCAAGTACGCGATCGGAAAGCTCGTGGGCGGCGCCGAGTTCCCGACGTACAAGCCCGACACGGGCTTCTACAAGGAGTGCTGTGACCGCGTGAAGCAGTACTTTCACGACAACGAGCTCGACCCGCGGAACCCGTACTCGGGGCTCTGGCGCATGGTATGTGTAGCAGTCGTGGGCGCGATTGCCCTTGTGGGCATGAACCAGCAGCTATCCGACAACAGCCATGCCCACTACGCTTGGGCGGCTGTCTTTGGCGTGTGCCAGGCACTGCCGCTGTTGCACGTGATGCACGACGCATCGCACGCTGCTATCACGAGCAGTCCCACGGGCTGGACCCTGATTGGACGTCTTGCGATGGACTGGGTCGTTGGCGCCAACATGGTGTCGTGGCTCAACCAGCACGTGGTTGGCCACCACATTTACACGAACGTCCCTGGAGCCGACCCTGACCTTCCAGTGGACTTTCAGAGCGACGTGCGTCGAATTGTCCACCGCCAAGTCGTGCTGCCGATCTACAAGTTCCAGCATCTGTACCTGCCACCACTCTACGGCGTGCTCGGTCTCAAGTTCCGCGTGCAGGACATTTTCGAGACGTTCATCTCGCTCAAAAACGGTCCACTGCGCGTGAACCCACACTCGGTTGGCGACTGGGCAGAGCTGGTCCTGTCGAAAGCGTTTTGGGCGTTGTACCGCCTGTACGTCCCGCTGGTGGTGCTGCAGGTTGACCCTGCTCGCTTTTGGGGCGTCTTTTTCGTGGCCGAGTTCGTGACCGGCTGGTACCTGGCGTTGAATTTCCAAGTGAGCCACGTGTCGACGGCGTGTGAGTATCCGGGGGACGAGAACGACGGCGTTACGGCCATCGACGATGAGTGGGCGATTTCGCAGGTGAAGTCGTCCGTGGACTACGCGCACGGGTCGCCCGTCACGGCGTTCCTCACTGGTGCACTCAACTACCAGGTGACACACCATTTGTTCCCAGGTGTTTCGCAGTATCACTACCCGGCCATTGCGCCGATCATTATGGACGTGTGCAAGAAGTACAACATCAAGTACACAGTACTGTCGACGTTCAGAGAAGCGCTCGCTGGGCACTTGGACCACCTCGTCGTCATGGGCAAGATGGGCAAGCGCGTACCGATCCACATGGGTTGAGAAGGCATTCTGTGATGACCCGTCTGTCATTGAGACAGGTACTCGCTTTGTCGAATGCATCGGAGAGAGGCAATGCGAGTGGGATGACAGGACAATGGATCACAATGTGTTCATGCAGGTGGTCGCACGTCTGGAAAACAACGTTTACACATTTACTGCAGTGCCGCTTGGTCTCGTGCTTTGCGTTTGTCGTTCTCCTTCGCGTGCACTTCTTCATGATGATGTGGTGCATTAGTGCCCTGAGCTCACTTGTGTATCGTTCGTGTCAGGTCGGGTCGCAAAAGAGAGACGATCAAGTCCAGTTGCATTTCTCCGGGTGCGACGAATCCCTGCATCGGGGTGAGTCCGATACATTATTCTGATTCGACCCATTCATGAGATCACCGATCCAGACAAGTACCGCATCCGAAGACTCTGAAGCTATATCGACCGTCTCGCTTTTTGCCGAGTCAGTCTACTTCGACTGTGTCCGACTCGTTTCTGTGGACACTTGCTTTGCTGTTAGGGCACTAGTGCTTCTGCTGATGCTGTGGCTGTTTCCAGACACGCCCTTAGCACTGCTACTGCGTTCTTAGCATCAGAGTCGTACCCGATTCCGTAGCTTCAGGAGTCGGCCCTGAAGCTTCTGTTTTACATCATAGCATAGCAAACACTCATTTGTTTACGACGGGCAATGATAAACGCGTATGCAGCCCTTACGCATCAGGATCGCTGTACTGGGCTAGCTGCACGAGGCGTGACATCCATTAGCGATGCTACGATATGACACGGTATCACACATGTCGTAGTTTGACATTCGTAAAGTGCTGTAGTGTTGTAGTGTTTACTGCGTCATTGACACCATGAGAGCTAGAGAATAGCTGGCGTGACCCGATGCAGAATCGGAGTCTATGACTTTCAGATGTGGTCAAGTCGAGAAAACAATGACCTCTTTCCACGATGGAAGTTGTGTATGCTGGTTGGAGATCATAGAGGTCTGGTCGAAGACATGTGCCGTTTAGCAACGATGGAGCTGATTTAGCTTGTACTGGACAGTTGAAATGGACTGAGTGGGTCTAACACGCGAAAATGACGCCACTCTGAAGCAATGTCGTAATGACATGTCATTTGGAAGAAGCCGAAATGTAGTTCACTTGTAGGAGGCTTGGGTGTACCATGCAGAAAGGTAAAGCCGAAAGGATGCGCAACGATGCGATCGGTCGATCGAAACACGACCTATGTCCTCTACAAGGAGCTCGGAATGGCTGTGTCGAGTCTGTCGCTTCGACATCAGTCGTAGTATCCTCCCGCCACTAACGTCGGTCCGACACAAGTCGTGCTAGAACAATCTCCCATGTGGCAACTGCTGGGAGCTGTGGCTATTCGCTGACTGTTACTCGTCTTGTGTCACTAAAAGTCCATCATGGTCCACACAAGGACGTGTATCATTTCTTCGCTTGCAACTCTCTACGTGTGTGTTCTTGATAAGTAGAATGCGGTCAATACATTGACCGCATCAGCCAGTAGAAGGAGAGCTATGAGCGATACACTCTGTCCTGACCATACTGTATCCTTTTACCGACCCAGTCTGATGGTTGGATATGTACTGGGCTCAACCTGTCACACAGCGCAAGGCGAGAGAATCGTACCTGATGTCAGGAATGTATTCGAGTATCTCTGTACTGACATGTTCCACACAGAGATGGTAACAATGCTTCCTTCTTGGCACTCGGTCTTCTTTTGGTGGTGGCATTTTGCCAACATCTGCCGCCATGAATCACTGGAGGATGTAACTGGTGACTCCACTTGGCAACAGTTACGTCCTCCCTGATTCATCGCGGCAGATGCAGGAGGATGTAACTGTTGCCAATACTGACTTCTGCGATAGCTTTGTTGACAAGCCAAACTTCGGTGCCGAAAAAGGAAGCAGAGCTGCCTCAGCTCTTTCGTCTCCGAGAAGTGCACAGAGTCGAAGACTGCCTCTTTTTGTAGAGCCAAAAGGAAGTGGTGGACTCACAGAGTTTTCCTTGTCTTTTGTAAGATCTGAACGAATCCAATGATTAGCATTGCAGCATACTGTAGAGTCTACACGAGTACGCCAAGCAAAAGCATTGGACGCAAGTTACTCGTCGCGTGAGTCAATTTGTCATTGCAATGTAACAGCGATGACAAGCTTTGTCTACGAGCTACAACATCAGGTCAAATTGCCACGGAGTAGTTTCGCGATGAGCATATCAACAACGGGCGACCAAAACAAACGGTATCGACCGATACCTCTAGACGTAATTTGACACATAATGGTTGAAGCCGCCACCATCAGGACCGATACGAGACTTTGGTATCATTAGCGTGCTGTCTGTATCCCTGCTGCAGAAACCCCAAAGAGGCTCATTTGCTCACTTGCACAACGCTTGATTTGCAGTAAGTCAATGGGACGAACGTCGCGCGAAGATCATCGAAAAAGAGGGCTCCACTAGAAGTAGCGGTGTGATCTCGTCAGCGCCGACACGCCGAAAACGGCCAGCGGATCAGTTCAGGAATCAAAACCAGACCGCTGGAAAGGTCACATTCGGACTCTGCCTGTCGCAACGTGTGCGCACGTGTCGCACGTGGTAGACATCGTACAACCCGCAGCGTGTATCCCACCACACTTGAGCCCAAGCGACATGTTGGGAGGATAGTGGATCGGATGGGAGCAGCGGTACAATGTGGCGAGAGGGCTACTCCACGGCATGTCACTGTCTATGCAGACAAAGGGACGATACACTTTGCAAGCTGTCGGTCGTTTGTTCGGAGGTCGCGGCCCCGCAGAGCTGCACGATAGTGAGGCACTGAACGCCGCGTCGGAGCACGTAGAAACGAGATGCGCAATGGCTACGCGTCTTTCGGCGCAGCTATCGTCCAGCCTCGTGGCAGTGCTTGGTCCACCACAACTCCGCGGCAACAATAGCGGATGGGAACCCGATGGTCAGTGCTTTGGTAGCTCTCGTGGACCAGTGACTGCTTCCGCAGCTCCTTCCGTCTGTTCGGCTATCGCAGTGGCAATACCACCACCACGTTCGCAGCATCGAGTCCAGTAGACCCGTTCTCGAGCACCCACTTCTTCTTCCTCCTCTCAAGAGAATCCACGCATCGCGTTCACACCATGTGCAAAGCGATGTCCCAACCTGTCGACACGACGGGTGGTCGTCGTCACTCTTCGTGTCCTCGAGCAGCAGATGACGCTCCGGCGTTGACAGCCCCCCTTCGCGTCGACTGCTGAAGCGTCGGGTACCTGGTCACGTGCGCTCAAACGAGTCAAAAGACCGACAGGTACGCCGACACACTCACCACCCATGCAGCAACACTCGAGCTTCTTTGCTATACTCGTTGCGATCCATTGCAATCTTTCGGCGTCCCAAGGCATATCCGAATGTCTGAATGGCCGCATTGGTGCGCACCTCCATCTGCTATCGAGGACGATTCGCTATCGCCAGCTGGTCAACCCCACCATCAAGTGGGCAAGTGCGTAGTCGTTACGCCATGGAGTCAACTGCACAGAAAACGCGCCGATCAGCTTCTCCGGAGCCCTCGATCCCGATAGGCCGTGCAAATTTTCATAGCTCTCCTGTCCAGGAGCAGCAATAAGATGTGTGTCTCTCTGCCTGCCACCACTCTCCATTTCATCGCCTCGAGCCAACAACAGGTCAATCAATAGGTCAACCGATCAACAGGTCAACCGATCAACAGGTCAACCGATCAACCGATCAACAGGTCAACCGATCAATCGATCAACAGGTCAACCGATCAACAGGTTAACCGATCAACAGGTCAACCGATCAACAGATAGTTTGGTAACTTAGTCCCAGCGCTGCGAGTCAAAGCGCCAGCTATGGTCTCTGGGGTCGCACCTGCGACAGCGCTCGGGCCGTTGCTATTGCTATTGCTGCTGCACCTGTCGATCGTCTTGCGAATTGCAACGGCCCACTCGTGGATCGACTGCATGGACACGGACCGGTCCATCGTATACGACCAAAGCGCGTCGTACATCTTTGGCGGCGCAGGCGGCAACGGTTTCTGCCGCGGCTACGGCGCCGGGTACCCCGGCCGCGGGGCCGCGGACATTGGCACGGCGTACACGTACAAAGTGCTGAAGAACGAGGTGCTGGCCGGGGCCCCCGTGTGTCAGAACGTGGGCGCCAACGCGTACGCAGACTGGCGGACGCGACTCGCAGTGGCCCCGGGACAGACGGCGTACTTCTCGTACTTGCCGAACGGCCACATTGTCAAGGACAAGAAAGCCATTGGCACGCAGCACGGCGTGTACTGGACCGGCAAAGTAGGAACAGCGCTGACGTCGACGCTCGAGATGACGCCAAAGCATTTGCTCAATGGCCACACGACGAACTTTGACGACGGCAACTGCGGCGAGTCGCTCGACAACAATGGCAATCCCGGCGGCCGCGCCGGCGATGGGAAGCCCTGTATCGGCTCGCTCACTATTCCTGCAGGCACGGCGCCCGGTGTTTACCACATGGTCTGGTACTGGACGTTCTGGCTCGACGACGAGTCTCAGTACGTGGATCAGGCCCAAGCGAAAGGGTACTTTGGGGCAGCCTACTCGACGTGCTTTGACATTGAAGTCGTTCCTGATGGAGGCGTTGCTGCCAACGGTGCAACGCCGGTTCCTCCAGCACCGGGAGTACCTCCAGCACCGGGAGTTCCTCCAGCACCAGGAGTATCTCCAGCACCTGTACCTGTACCTCCGGCACCGGCAGCTCCAGGGCCTCCTATCGTGGCTGCTACCCCACCAAAAGCGACGATACCTGTAAGTGCAGAGTCGAAGGCGGTTACCGGTGATCCGGTTGTGCTAGCGACGAAGAAGGGTCGTTCGGGACCTCCTATCGGGGCGGCTACACCACCAAAGGAGCCAGAGGTGGGCGCAGAGGCGTCTGTTGGAAAGGGCTTTTCGCTTGACCCGGAAGAGACTGGCGGGTCCAAGCCAGTCGATCACGACGCGCTTATACCCTCGAGCTACAGCTTTGCAACTCTCGCGACCGACGACCCGGCAATACAGAGCTCTGCGTCAGATGCTGAAAAGGGTGACCTGGTCGTGCAAGAAGGGACCCTGAAGCCGGGGATAGAGGCACCAGTGATCGCAAAGCCTTCTGGTAAAGTGACTTCTTCGCCTGGTGCCGAAGGCAGTTTCAAGCCGAGTCCATTAGATCACGACGCGCTTATACCCTCAAGTTACAGCTTTGCAACTCTCGCGACTGAAGACTCAGCAAAACAGAACTCTGCAGACCCGAACGGCACCTCAGAGTCGACGAGCTCTGCGTCAGATGCTGTGGAGGACGGTCATGTTAAGCAGGAGGAAACTTTGGAAACGGAGAAGGAGACTTTGTTGGACACAAAGGTCCCTGATCAAGAGACAGCAGAGCATGACTCAGTTGACGACGACGGTCTTTCGAAAGACGACTCGAGCTCTCTGACGACCGAAGGGTTGGCGAGTAAGAGCTCTGCAGACCAAAACAGTAGCTTGGAGTTGACGAGCTCTGCATCGGATGCTGAGGAGAACGGTCTGGTCACACAGGAGGGAACCCTAGAAACGGAGAAGGAGACTTTGCTGGACACGGAAGTCCCTGATCAAGAGACGACAGAGCATGAAACGGTTGATGACGACGGTCTTTCGCCGTCGGAAGGTGGCTCGGAATCGTTCACGACCGAAGAGTTGGCGAGCAAGAGCTCTGCAGACTACAACAGCACCTCAGAGTCGACGGGCTCCGCATCGGGTGGTGAGGAGGACGATCTGGTCACGCAGGAGGATACCCTGGAAACGGAGAAGGAGACTTTGTTGGACACAGAGGTCCCTGATCAAGAGATGGCAGAGTCTGGTTCAACTGACGGTCTTTCGAAAGACGGATCGGAATCGTTCATGACCGACGAGTCGGCGAGCAAAAGCTCTTTGGACTCGATCGGCAGCTCGGGGTCGATGAGCTCGGCGCCGGATGCCGAGAAGGGTGGGCATATCCGGCAGGAAGGGACAACTACAGACGATTCGGCTTCTTCTGCCAGTTCAGGCTCGTCATCGGAATCATCCGGCCATGCACGTGCAGCGACGCGGAGCAGCTCAGCCAACTCCGTCGCGGTACCACAGTGGTGGCTCATCATTGGCATTGCAGTGCTTCTTGGAACGACAAAGTGAGTTCGCACGTAGTGGTTCGAGCAGTGAAGTTCACCTCTGCATATCCAGCCACCTGAGGATCCGTCCGAGTGCCGTTATAAGCCTTTTGACTATGCACGTCGGCACTGCAATGGACGAATGAGTTGTACACAAGTCTTGGCAGCAAGCAGCAAGTAGAATAGCGTTTGTTTCGTCTTCAACTGAAGAGTTTATTGTCCGTTTGTTTGCTTTCTCGATGCCCTATGGACGTGTTTTTCGCGAGTCTCGTCTCGCTTACTTGTCCTCGCGTCTGCAAAAGGCTCTCGGCGCGACTTGTGAGGAACTTGGATGGCGATACGAACCACAGTGATGTATCCGATAAGGATACGTACAGTATCAAGGACGACTCAGGCAGTAGGTCTTGAAGCACGTTATTTTGACAGGGACATCGACAATGTACGTCATGACTCAGGAATTCGATCGAGCTAACTAACCGTAAGCGATTGATTAGTCATTGAGACGGTATGAGACACATAGATGGAATGGAGACATGAAGGGCAGATGGCTGCAGATCCTCGATTTGCTCCTTCGGACGTGCGAAAAAACATTACCTCAACTTACCTGCACGCACGCACCTATTTGCTGCCTGACTTGCAGCCCGCGAGGTCATTGTCGCCAACTCGTTGCTTTGTACTATGATAGGATGACTAGTTGAGCAAGAGGCGATGCGATAATGCCACCGATCTTAGTGGCGGGAAGATACTACGACTGATGTGGAAGCGACAGACTCGACGCAGCCATTCCGAGCTCCTTGTAGAGGACATAGGTCGTGTTTCGATTGACCGATCGCATCGTTGCGCATCCTTTCGGCTTTACCTTTCTGCATGGTACACCCAAGCGTCCTGGTCGTTTCAAGGTTATTGCCCCCTGTTTCAGAGTTTATGGCTTCTCCTGGTGTTTCCTACTACAGAGCTTACTTACTGGCTTACGAATAGTGACGACGTGCTGGCATGTAGCATTTCTGTTGCGATGTTCCGGTTGCTGGTCGAACGCTTACATGTGGTCAATCAAATGGTACTTACTATCCATGAGATACGATCGCTCGGAGAAAAATACGGGATGCCGGCCCAAAATGCATCCGAACTAGGAGATGCTTGCGCGCGTATCGGTCGAGTCAATGCTACGAGTGTGTAAGTTACGAGTTGAGATACTGACATCGAGTGGAAAGGGCTTAGCTGCGCATCTAGAAGATTGTCCGATTCGTGGATCGCTGGTGTCGTAAGGTTCCAGCGACGTCAGTCGTCGATCAAATGAGGGCCTTTTGCGGTAGTGTAATGTCTTGGTGCATCCATCACATGCGCAGTTGCAATCATGGCTCTGCGAGACGAGAGGTACGCCCAAACAGATACTGCGATGTGGTCTTCGTCAAGGAGAGTCATGTCGTTGACAAAGGTGCACCAATCGCGTGTAGAGTCGCGTGCGTCCCAATAGTGACGATGGAGGAGGTGGGTCAAAGCGACAGTCCGCAGCACAGCGGCTTTCGGTCAGCCACACCCACTTCAACTTTCGCACACGAAGCCTCTGCTGCAAAAGAAAGTTACGACACGCGTTCGCATGAAAGAACTGTCGGAGCGATCGAGTCTACACGAACCGCGACGCAATCTGTAGCTTCGATAGCAATTTATATATCGATACATGTTTTCATATCTGGATCGATCTAGTACCAGTGTGGACGGTGGTTGTCCATCTTCGCCATCGAGCGGGGATGACAAGGATGCAGGTACCACAGTTTGCTGTCGACGCAGTCTAAGAACGGCGACGGCGCACTCTTCTCATTGTGCTGATGGGTGGCTTGCCAGTAACTCGAGTGTGTCTTCCCTTACTCAGTCGAGTGCAAGAAGTGATCGGCGCTACTTTACGATCCGCTTTCTCCTATTCGTGGTCGTCCAACTCCGGTTCAGATGTCTTCAATATCGTGCGTGAAGACTTCGCATGTTTTTCTTGTTTGTTGTACGTGTCTTTGTAGTCGACAAGCGTTCCGATTTCCCGGAAACACTCCCAGTATCTTTGTCCACTCAATCGACAAAGTCTGTAGATAAGGCAGCAAGTCAAGCATTTACTCCGAGGAGTGGCTTCAGTAAACGCTTGACTTGCTACTCACTCTACAGACTTTTTTTGGGATATGATCGATCGCCTTCGAAGACAGTACTAATGGCAGCAGAACTTATTCCGTCAATGTTGGTATGGCTTTATCTGTTGACAGCATCGCAAACTAGTGCTCTCTGATGGATTCAGTCGCTGAGGAAGTATGAACAAGCCTCAGGTTGCTGGCTCATAGCTCGTTTCTGCGATACAGACCGATGCCTCCATCTCTCTGTTGCAAAGTCATGTGGTTTGTGTAGACCCAAGACCACGAACATGTGCCAAACACGCGCATGGCGCTGGACCAGGAGAGCCACATGACGATCACCGTTCAGTTGCTCCTTTCAAACAAACACGCGTCAGCCGTTCATGAAGCAAGTGGCGAGATCGATGCCAATCGTCGGACACGTCTATGCTCAACCATCACGCTTGTTTGGCACGTTATACAGAAATTTGTCAGTCTATTCTGAAAACGAGCTACCGTCATCTACTGCATCCGAGGAAGCCGCTACCCTTTAGCCTCCAATCTCCATCAACGTGTCAGCTGCTACCATTTGGGACACGATCGACCCCGAGCGCGTTGGATCCTTTTCGCGCTGCGCTACAGCATTGTCACTTTGGCCAGCGCGTCAATCTATCTGTAACTCGAACGAAGAACTTATCATTGACACCTCGTTGTCGGTAACGACTCGCACGTGCATGTCCAGGCTTTGCCAATTCGTCTCGCAGCGCACGCTGCTCAGTTTATAGTATCATGTTTGTGTACGAGCTGACGTGTGACTTGTGGTGAGCGTGCTGTAAAAGCTGTCAGCTACTTGATGTCTCTCGACAGTGTCAAGTGCACGTCGTAGACCATATCTGCGTCAGCTGCAGCATATTCTCACGACTCCCGAGTTGTGGTCACCAAGCACGACAAAGACGCATCGCGAGCTTCAATGTCGGCTCAACTCCGTCTGGTCCTTCCTTTCGTTGTTTCGTCAGGAATGATGCGATCGAAGCTCCTCCTCCTTGCGCCCTGTGCGTTGACGTAACACACCTCAGGTCCTTGAACTACTCGTAGAGGTAGTGCTGCAATTCCACGTCCATCGCTCATGTCAACCTACCCCACGCTACCATTGCTTCAGTCCTGTAGCAAATCCTTCCCTTCTCGAGTCAAACAGTGATAGTAAAGCAGAGGTGGTCATTGCAAGTACGAGGTCTTTGCAAGTATCTTGCAGCTAGGATTCCACCTATGACCCCTCAGCTGCTTCCTCGATCGGTCGTCTTCTCATGGCTGTCAATACGATCGTGGGCTCCACTTGCATTATGATCTGCTTTGACGTGCAAGGCTGTCAAGGTTGAGAGCATAGAGACATTCTGTAGCCTTCCAAGTGCTGTGCCATTTGCATCACGCGGAGATTCCGAGCTTGGCTTTGATACACAACGAGCCCTCACGCCTGCAGCGACTCAAGTTCCTGTGCTAAAAACTACCGACCGAACGCGCGAGCACCAAGCCATGTCAGTCTCGTGAGCGCAAAGGATTGCTGAACGATGTAGCAACGAGTGCGTTGCTTGCAAATTAAGGCCGAAGGCTAGTGTATCATTCCCGCCTTGTAGCAGCTGCAAGGAGACGTATATCACTGACAAAGGTCTTGGCGCGTCCATATCGGACAAGCGGTTGCATCGCTTTGGACGAAAAGAGAGAGAGAGAGAGAACCGTTCGAAGTGAGACGGCCAAAGCTACGAGCTTTGCACATTCTGCGAGTGCGTAGCAATCATGCGAAAAGTTTGCCGCGTGGCACACTTGCGAAGCGGTACGAAGACGGTCGAAAGTATGGCAAAGGCGGTGGTGTCACGAATAGCATGGGGCCACAGTTTGAATGATGCGGCATGCTGCAGGCACAACGAGGGTTTCCAGAGACTCGAAAGCTCACATCTACCCGACAAACTGTCAATAGCTATCGCATATTTTAGTACGTGAGCAGGTACGCGAGAGTCATCGTGCCTAACCTTGCGAATACACCGGTCTTCTTGGCAACTCGTATGGAAGGAGCCTGTATCCGAAATGGGATACAAAACGAGTGCACTTCCACAAGAAAGTGCCACACTTTCTCAAGCTAAGCGTCGGACGAAGCGACGCCCAGCGAGAAACTTGCGAGACGAGGAAGATCAGCACGATCGACATCCGACCGACAGCTTTGCTTCGTTGTTGCAACGTCACGTTCGTCGAGATGGTGCGCGATAGCGGGGGGAGGGGCTTTGACACAGACCATTTCGACACTCTGCTCTTACCGGTTGTAAAGAGACGACCCAAAGCAGCGCTGGAAAAGGAGATGGAAGCAGTTGTTGCTTGGTGCGAGGCTTACTCACTGGTCGATCAGTACCTGCCACGCTGCTATCTACAGTCGAACCTGAGTCGGTCTCGACCGTCTGTTCTTTTCGACAACAAAGTGCTGCGCCAGCCATTCACGAGTTGGTCTTGTCACTCGTTACATTGTTTAAAACCCTTCGCATCGATGTTGCCTCGATGAGGCAGGCCAAGCAAGAAGCGCCTTGCCGCGCGATACACCTCGTGACCGACACGCACCAGATCGTTCGAAATCGATGGACGCACATATGCGTTTTCACAGTCCCTCACCCACGCCAGCTGTTTCTATCCTGTTTGTCGAGTCATCGCAGCAGCTTTGTGTAATGCGACTACAATTACGCTCCGGTCATCTGGTCGTAAGACATAATCCACACGGACGTTTCTATCAAGCGCATAATCAGACACGTCTTTTTGCCCGGTCACAACACTATCACTCTGACTCTTTTCGTCAAGAGGTGTGAGACCAATGGAGGCCGCCGCGTCGACTTGCGCCCCGCAAGAGCAGTGCCGCCGCTCGCCCGCGTCCCTCCGCCACGCGCGCCCCTACCGCACCTCAAGCAGCAGCAGCCTCAGCGTCTCCGCCTGTAGCATTAGCAGCATCGTGAGCAACTACCCGCTGTCGAACGGGCCGCTGTCGTCTTGCTGGGGGGATCAGACCTATGAAGATTATGAGGTTTTTTCCCGCAAGTTTATGCGTTTTGTTCGCATTGTATACGATTGCGTTTCTATCGACGCACGAGAAAAGCTGAGCAGGTACTCGTGTGGCTGTGGTGTGGTTGATGGTGTACCTGATAGGTGGTGTTTACCGAAGACAAGTTGGGGTTGACGCTCAAGAGCTACGAGCACGTGGACCCTCTGGGCCATCGCATTCCCGTGACGATCGTCAAGTCTACGATCTTTAGCGTCGGTCAAGTGTCGCACCCCATTCGCGTATGTGTGCTGTTGTCGTGTACAGGTTCTTTATCGGAAAGCAGAGGGTGGAGAGATGCTAACAGCATGATTTTGGGCATGTTGCAGGAAGGAGACGCCCTGCAGTCCGTGAATGGAGAGAGCATTGCCAACCTGCAGTTTCAGGATGTGTTGCGGATTCTCAAGACAGCACCACGCCCGATTCGTCTACGGTTTCGCACGAGATCGATAACGCGTCGACCGTCGGGGGCTGAGCAGCAGGAGGTGTATGCAAGACGGTCTAGCACGGGCAGCATGGACAGCGATTTTCGTGTACCCTTTGTGGCTGGCGCTTGGTTGTTTCCAGAGCGACCCGGGCTGGAAGAAGATCGGGACGATTCAGACAGTCAGGACGCTGTCGTGTCGGAAAGCTTTGGTGACGCCGATAGTGCGCGATCGACAACGAACAGCTCAGTGATTACCGAGTTTGCAGACATGAAATCGACGTCGAGTCGGCAGTCGTCACGCTTGGCTGCGTTTCTGCGCAAACCCTTTCGTCGCGACGACGGGTTCGATGGCGCATGGTGGGAACCGCGTTCCAGTGCTGTGCCGGCTTGTCCTCGTACTGCGATTTGGCTGGATTCGCCGCTAAAGGTACGCAAAATGAGGTCGATTTGCTTTTCTTTGGTACGTTTTCGCTGACCACAATGTTTGCTCGACGCAGGCTGCGCTTCTTGTGCGCTGGTATGTGCATGCGAAAGCCGTTTCGTACCACCTGCAGTTTTCCCGCGACTGGACGATGAAAGTGTGGAAGAATTGGTCGGGTCGACCTGTGCCAGCAAGCGACAGCGACTGCGAAATGGTCACAACGATCTTTGGTCTCGACTACTCGAAGAGCTACGTAGTGCGTGTCCGCTATGAGCTCAGTGGCGGTCACGGCCCCGGCGAGTGGAGCACATCAAGTACACCTGTTGCAACCGTTAGTCATGTTGACGCTATGCACTATCGAATTGCGCAGTCGAGGGCCCGACGTAGGTGAACAAGTCGGCCCTGGGATGATGACCCGCAGTGCGTATACTTTGTTCGACGTTTGTGCTGTATTGTTGCGTAGTAGGATGGTAACGTCGCCATGCTACAGGATAGGGCATGCGTTACTTTTGAAGAATGAAAAAACGCAGAGACTCGACACGTTGGTTCCTCATCTCGTGCAGTTACTTCAGCGTGTCGCAACACACGCACGCATATGTTCGTTTCGCGTTTGCTACAGCCGCAAGTGCTGCTCTGATTGGCTGAATAGTCGCTTGTTTGTTCCGCCCTTGGGTTTCGCCCACTCACGTGTCGTCGTTTTGCCGAGACAACGTCAGCTGGTCAATTGTTGTTGTTCTGATTATTCTTAATGTTCCTCTTGTTATTGTTATGGTTGTTGTTGCTATCGCTCCTATTGTAATTCTTATTGTCGCTCCTATTGTAATAGTACCCATTGCTCGAATCGTTATCGTTGTAATTACTGTTCCTATCGCTATTGTCAATATTACTGTTTCTGTTGGTGCCATAATTACAGTTGGTGCCATAATTACAGTTGGTGCCACTATTCCTATCGTGATTGTTATCATCGTTTCCAATCTATTTTTATTGTTGCTATTGTTATTATATTGTTAGTGCCGTGTTTTGTATTTATTAGCATCGAGAGACAGCAGGAGAGCGAGAGCGAGTCGGGAGGATGCTAGAGGGCGCGCTCAAGTCGTGGATCATGCAGTTTCTAGGCCAGTATGTCGAGAGCCAGACGGTGAACGTGTCGATGAAACTCTGGCAGTCGTCGGAGCGCCTCAAGCTCGAGAACGTGACGCTCAAGGCCAGCGTCGTGCCAACTTGGCTGCCGTTTCGGCTCAAGACGGGGTTTGTGGGCTTATTTGAGGCTGATCTGCCACTTTCTGCTATTTTTGGGAGTGGGTCGGCCAAAATCAAGTTTCAGGACGTGTTGCTGGTCCTTGAACCTCTGAAACACGATGAAGCAGAGTTGCAAGACGAGCTTTTGTTCCTAGTCGAGCAGAAGATGCACCGACTGGAGCAAGACCTGCAAGATCGATGGATCGGACCTCAAGTACCAGAGTATACAGTGCCTCACGAGAGTGAAGGCTACTTTGGTACTGACGGGTGGATTGGACGCACAATGACGAAACTCATTGACAATTTGCAGGTCGAGATTCGAAACTTGCACGTTCGAGTGGAAGGAACTTGGTCTCCATCTCGATCGACAAGGAAATACCCACCCGCATCTGAATCGGATTCCAACGACCGGGATGTCGTTCGGTACGCAGTAGGGCTTACACTGGGAGCACTTTCGGCTGTCACGACGTCCAGCAGTTGGAGGATCGGCGAGTTCGACGATGACAAGAACGAGAAAGCACAGGAGAACAATCATTTGGTATTTAAGCTGATTAACGCTGTCGACCTGTCGGCGTATGTAGACCCGAATGCATTGCACTTTATCCACACGAGAGTACATCCAAAGGTGTTGCAGTTGACACTATCGAGGCTGAAAGAGATGGGGTCGAGAACGGCAAAAGCAGATTGGTGGAATGCAAAAGAAAGCGTGCATGCGCACAGGTTTTTGGTGGCACCGATCAACGTGGCGCTCAAGCTGACGATGAATACTGCAGCGCAACATACACAGACTGACGATTCGCGGTACGACGCAGTGTTTCACCTGTCGAGAATATGGGTAACACTAGATGAAGAGCAGCTGTCGGTGCTAAACCTCATTGCCGACTTGTTCTCTGGACACGAGAAATGGCGGCTGATGGTATCGGATCAAGTCAAGGCATCGGAGCACCATACAGCAAGTTGTGAGGCTACGATGACGGAGCTTGCGGAAAATTATTTACAGCTTTGGAACCAGGTGATGGCCATGAAAACGGAAGGAATGGATGTATTGAAAAAGAGCGATGTATGGAATGAGGCGACGAGAATCGAGCAGCGACTGCCATATGAAGTGGTCGTAGCAATCCGCAACCGTCTAGGACTAGAATGCGTTGCAGGAAAGACAGTTCCGTGCTCTAGTTTTCTCTACGGAATACGCAATGCAATGGGTATCCCGCTTCCTGAAATCAGTGTACTGTTTCATGAAGGTCCGACAGGGTTACTGTTTGATCTACTGTCATCTGGTGATGTGGCGATCAAGCGCTGTGTCGACAAAAGTCCTGCTGCGGCAATCGAAAGTGTGAGACCGGGGCTGTTGCTAGTAAAAGTGAACGACGAGCCTCTACGGTCGGTAGTCCGATACAAATCCGGGCTCGATGTAGAGCTGGCTATTGATGCGATGCCAGGAACGAAGGTGCTGACTTTTCGACACCCTTCTGTGATGCCCTTGGAGGTCACTCCGTCTCGCGCAGTTGCCCAGGTTTCGTTCGTTTCGGACAAGCTTACGTTTTTCCTCGTACGAGCTGCCCAGAAACGGGTGATCGTGGAAGTAATGCTGGATAGTCCTGCAGTCTCCGTCGTTGGTTTCGGACCCAGCTTATTCTCGTATCATTTTTACGAAGTTTTGGTCAAAGGTTTTTACGTACAAAGTATGGCGCGAGAGGAGAACGAAGGCAATCACTGTATTGCTTCAAGCCTTTGCGATGTTGCGGAGATTGCTGACGACGTGCCAATCCCAGCCCTTCGATGTAGTATAAATCATCTTCATGAGGCACATCCAGACGCCCGGGCTGGGAATATTGAGACGTATGGATTGAAGATCTCGGCAGCAATTGGTAATTCGATTGCGGTTTTCGACGAGACAAAGATGACGAGACTAGTCTCTGAATGGCGCGACTGGCTTGATGCAATCTCGGACGATTGCTCCACTGGCATGCCTCCATCCAGTGGTTCTCGGGTAGGAGTTGACTTGAGTGCGATGCCGCCTTCATCGCGTTTTGAACCGACGTCATCGTACGCAACGACTAGCTCCTCGAATGCTGCTCTCGGTGATTCGCCCTTAGTAGATAGCAGTTGTACGTACGAAGTGAAAGTTGAGCTATTGCGCCTGTTCATCAGTGCTCACAAAGCGCCAGTTGCGCCCGTCGGACTCTCGAACGAGCCTTCTTACCGAGCTTTGCTAAAGCAGCTTGTCGGCGATGAACCGAGTGGACCCCCTGTGATTCCAGATTGGGCTAGAGCAGCGCAAGCAATTGTAGTGATGCAACGTTTTATCCGAGGTTCCATCGTTCGCAGGCGGAAAATGGTTCGCCTGGCGCTTGCTAGGAATCGCTGGATATTCTACCAAGACAACGAAAAAATGGGCTGGTTATATACTAGAGACGATTCTCTCGCATTCCGGCGATGGCGTCGCTCGTGGTGTCACTTGGACGACGATGGCGCTTTTTCGATGCATACCAATGGTTCGGGTGCCGATGTTCTTGATAAGTTCAGCGTGCTGGGCTGCAAAGTGACCATGCTGGTCGACGCATCTGGAGGACCGTGGGGCTCACGGCGTGGCAAACTGTCTGAGGCTCTTGAAATAACGACCCGATCTGGTTTTGTTCGAAAGGTGCTGGGCGCTGACAGTTTGGCGGAGCTGAAGAAATGGAAGCATTGTATTGAAACAGGTGCTAGGAATGCGTCAAAACAAGCAATGGATGTGGAGGCGGAGAGGGAGGGGGGCGAAGAAGAAGGAGAAGCCTTGCGTGAGTCATCAGCAGAAGATTTTCGCGGTGAGGGTGGTACCGCACGTCCGTCCAAGACTGAGCAATGGAATGGCTCCGATTTGAACGAGCTCTTGCTTGGAGGCTTTTCAAGCGTTTACCGCGCCGCTGCCACTCTGAAGAACGAGCAGTCTTCCTGGTTTTCGTTGAGCATTGCCAACGTAAACTTTGTTACCGATGTGCACAACGCATCAGACCCGGCTCGTTCCGCGTTTGTGTTTTGCCTTCGTCTGAAGAGTTTTACCGCACTGGACCATCGTCAGTCATCGGATTACGGTGTATTGCACATTGGTGACAAGTTTCTGAACTTGAAAAATGGCAGTTTGATACCAGGAAAGATGCGAGCGGATCAGTTGGACGATGGACCGTTTCTCATGCTGCGCATGTCCTATCGAGGACCACGTGCAGGACCCGATTGTTTCGTACTGCAAAGCGGGCTCCATGTAGATCTCACAATATCCGGTTGGATGATGCCACTGACTTTGGTGCAGGTCTGTTTCGAGATCATCGACGTATTGGACGTGCTTTGGGCTGCCGATACGAATGCTTCATGTAGCGAACCCAGTCTTACATGTGCTCTCGATCCGGGCAGCGCTGCGCCGTGGAAAGAAGTGCCTGAGCTTGGGATTCAGATTCGTGCTCCAATTCTGGAGGCGTACCTCGAAGATTCTCACTGCGTTGCAAAGCTGACGGTTGAGGACAGTTTCTGCTCGTACCGCGCTGACCCGGGAGTGGAAATTTTCAAACTGCACTTTGGCCCTTCTGCGCTATTCGTGCTCACCGATGATGTCGCACTTCGGCTTCTTCAGGTGGACAAATTCCGACTCGGCTACGACCTCAGACTGCATCAGCAAACGACGTCGAATGTTGTCGGATGTGCCTTATGTGCCGACGAGTCGGCAAAGAAGCCAGTATGCCATCGCTCCGTCAACGTTTCGATTGGCCAGATTAAGCTTGAGGCGGACCGAAGGTTGGAACTGCTTTTTGCACTGTTGGAAGCGCTTACATACAACCATACGCCAGATGGTACCGCGGGCGAGCATGAGTTCGACGACCCTCATGAAGCAAAAGCGACGCAGGATGCTGGCCAAGACGAGTTTGGTAGGAGCGACTGTAACGTGCACTTGCTGCGCGGTGGCCAATCTTCTCAAACGGAGGGGCTATCGTTGATGCACATAAATTATCAAGACCAGCATTCGCTCGATATGCGGCCAAATTACGCGACTAGCTTTAGTCGCCCGAATGCTTCTCCGTCGGGCCGCAGTCGAATGTCGACCGCGACCTCTGTGGGGATCAACAACGCGGTCAACGAGATTGGCCAAGAGCGATCGAAGCGTCGACCAAAGGTATCTGCGTTCATTCCATTGTTGAACTACCAGTCACTTGTCGGCATCTCCGGTGGGCCATTCGACCGGCAAGGCTCTTCCAGAACTATCTTTCGGACTCGATTGCGAATGGGAAGGATCCACGACCGTATATCCATCACAGTGCATTCTGTAGTGTTTGAAGTAATTAAGAGGAGCTTGTCCGTGGTTTCGCTGGACACGTACATCCCAGTGATGAATTTCTCCGTGAGTGACATGAAGATGCAATGCGTGACGCGAACCGAGTTTACGACAGATTACGTCGTGGACGCTAGTGTTGAAGTATCTGCGCGATACTACAACACATCTTTGGCAGACTGGGAGCCCTTCGTTGAACCTTGGCGAGCGTACGCAAAGGCACGAAGTTGTAGCGGTGCAGATGGAACGACTATGGAGCTGACCGCGCTGCAACGACTGAACGTGAACTGCACTGACTCGCTTATTCGATTGCTCTCTAGTATCGCTAAAAACCGTCGCAAGCAGGACTTTATTGTGGAAAAGCGGACACTTGCCGCTGTGGCTGCTGATGGGGAAGCGAAAAAGGAGAATGGACGTGTGTGTGTGCTGAACAATCTCGGTGTCCCGATCCGACTTGCCAATCTGAATACGTCGCACGCAGGAACACTTCATGTTGACGTCAGAGATGGATGGTCATTTCCAGGTTACTCGCGCTTCCACAATGTTCGCGTGTCAGTGGTATTGTTGCCTTGGTGGCACCCGCGAGAAGTGCAAGCTGTCGATAGCTTCCGTCACGAGTTCACCCTCCCCTACGGTGGAGCTCAGTCGGGTGTCACCCCTATTTTGAGGATTGATGTGCTTGCGATTGACGAAGGTAAGCGCAACTACGTCTTTGACCACATCACAAATAAGTACGTAGAAGTTGAAGCAGAAGACGATGACGACGATTTCGTCGACCCGTCACCATCGCAGGCACCGACATCATCATCGTCTCGCAAGTATATTACTCGTGGAGACAGCACGGGTTCCTCTCAGCGAGCTAGATGGGTTTCGATTGGATCGACAGAGATTAACTTGGCTGGCAATGTCATGGCGTCACTTGATCATAATCGAATGAAGCTAAACCGATGGTACCGGCTTCATGATCTACGGGGCAATACGACCGGCGAGATTTTCGTTGGCCTGCATTTTGCACCAAACATGGATACTCCCGTTATCCCCGCCAGAATGAACGAGCCCCAGCAGGTCAAAGACGGTCAATTTCTGATTTTCGACCCCCTTAAGATCGTTACCGCGAACACGGCTGATTGCCAGAAACAGTGCAAGGACCACGTCATGCTATCTGACGGCTTGCGTGGTAGCTACATCCCGCCGTTAGCGTTGGAAGTTTTGATCGGGTCATCGCGAATGAGTTTGATGTGCCCGTTACGTCGTGCTGGCAAGTTTCTCATTCAGGGCGACCAGGTGCTGGCTGAGGTCAAGGTCGCACAGAGAGACGAATCCCGACGAGTGTTGCTTCTTAGCTCGCCTGTGCAGTTGAGGAATGGTTCGTATCACAAAGACTGCCAGTTTGGTATCATTGAGTATGCTGACATGTGCACGTGCGCCGACTTTTTGTTGACTAGACACCAGCATTGACATGGAACTGTGGACTTGTCGTACACGACTGGCCTTTGGCGAGGTATGATTAGCTGATGACTATGCTTACATATGTCACTGGCTCGGTGTGTGACTGACTCATCGTTTTGATTTTGTAGAATGGTTCTCTGCCAAGAACAAGCAAACTGATGACGTTGACGACTAACAATAAGACGTCCGTTCCAATAAGCGCAATGTTCGGCGATGAGAAGGATTCAGTTGTCGTGAAGGTCGATGGGTGTAAGCCGACGGTCGTCGCGGACTTGAACAAGCTGACAGCAGGGTCCACAATTCTATCATTGGAAGCTGAAGATGCTGAAGGCTTGGGCTATTGCTTGTATGTGAAAATTACGTCACACATGCGCAAGGTGTACCGAGAAGAGCATCATGTAACGGTCGGTCGTGGAAACATAAATTTGGACGGAGAGTTGCCAACATATGCGACGAAGTATCAGATATGCTTGTACTCGTGCCTTATGTTTGAGAACACCCTTCCGATTCGAGTCCAGTACAAGATCGTCGCGGGTGGGCAATCGAGAAAAGTGATTCGGTCCGGCACACTTTCACCCGGTGAAGAAGTCCCTATTCACGATTTCCAGCTTGATGCGCAACTGATACTGCGACTGCCTGAGATGGATTCAATTTGGAGTCGTCCGATCAACTTGAGTGACTGCATTTACCGGGAGGGGATGGACAAGTCGATCAAGGCTATGCTGGGTGCCATTGGTGCCTGGGATCCGATTGTAGAATTTCTTCCGTCCCCCCAAGGTCCTGGTATCGCGTTTAAGGACTGCGACGTCTCGTCAAAAAAGGTCGTGACTCGCATTGACTACACAGCTGCCGATGATGGAAGTCCCCGTATTGTGCTATTCTGTTCACTGTGGGTGTACAACCAATCACACGTGCAAACACTGTTGTTCCGTTGTGCGGACGATCCGGAGGCGCCGAACTTGGTTGTGCCCCAGCTCGTTTCCCAGCGTCCTGTGCCACGACTAATGGACTGTCCGGCTCAGACGTTTGAGATCGGCACTATCATCGACGCCGAAATCTCTCGATGGTCGGACAAAATCCACTCTACGGTGGTAGGCATCCAAGAACCAATTAGTATAAAGTTCGGAAGCAAGCTAGGTCCGAGAACTCGCAACGAGCTGGGCATAATGATCCAGCGACCGTTGGGCCAGTTTCATCGCACGACTCAAGTGATTGTCACGTCCCACTTTGTGTTTGTAAACAAGACTTCTGTAGCATTCAAGATCTCACAGTACACGAAAACAGCTGACCGGGCGGTGGAGCTGCCTGCCATGCCGATACACGGACTGCCGCCTACACATTATTTTGATTTCGATGCCGCGACGAGCTTGATGAACCGACGAGTTTACCTGCGAATGGATCATCACGGAGCAGAATGGAGCGGACCTTTTGCGGTCGACGAAGAGAACGAGTTTTCTCTGAAGCTAAAAGGGTCGGTGATGAACACTTGGAAAGATGGTAGCGGCACCGAGGAAGGGTACGAAAGCTTCCGACGCAGCATCTCAGAAATGCATCGCGTAAAAGTCCGGATCAGTAACGTGGGCCCAAGTATCGTTGTCACGCTGCTACGAGATGATCCTCCGATGTATATGATTCGCAACGAGTCCAGCTCGGACGTGTTTGTGAGCCAGGTGCATTGCTCTGATGAAACCGTTGCGATTCGGAGTAAGGAGTATATTCCTTTTGCTTGGGTGAAGCCGGATGGACCGTGGTAAGTGTTCAACTTGAATCGTTTCGATTTATTCCGTTGATTGCTACCAAGGTGCGCGTAACTGATGTGTTGTGGTACCGTAGGCGAGTTGCATGCCGGACTGGAAGTGTAGTAGGTCGACACGAGATGGTGTCCCGAAGATATGGCGTGTACGATTTTGCGAATTTAGACCGGGAGCGGAACATTGACACGTTGCGTTACCGGATGTTCGGAAGCAAGTCGAAGATTGTGTCGGGTGATATTGTGGTAGATCGTGCTTCACGCGTGCTGGTATTCCGCGACTACAACCCAGGTAAACCGCCAAGCTATATTTTGGAAGTGAAGATTATTGCCGCGCGTATGCGCGACGAGTTTTCTCTGAGATCAGATTCGACTGCGGAATTTGTTGCGGAAACTGACAACCACGCGGTAAGTCTTTGTACATTGTTTGGAGCTAGGCATCGTTCAATGTGATGACATGCGTGTGTATGTTGCAGGGACAAGCAACGGAGTCCAAGACACTTAAGACTGCACGTGTATATCGCTTCGATTCCGACATTGAGTTCGCTTGTGATTCCCGTCCGAAGAAACTCACGCTAAGCTTCTACGAAAATCAAGCCTACCAAGAAGACGCCTTTATGCGCCATGCGTCTTCTGTTGGCATCGATGATGATAGCTACTTTAGCGGCAACTACGCAAATCGAGCTGGAAATAGTCCTGCGCAGCCTGTGCCTGATGCTACGGAGCTAGCTGAATCGGAAAGCCCGAGAAGTGAAGACGTCTCGACATCGTTTGAGGTGATGCGCACACCCGCGACTTTTCCCGTTCGACGTCGTCATTCCTTGTCCGGCAATGTCTCGGGAAGTATGATGTCGCTGCCACGGAATCAACAGTTCTACCGCAAGGAGAGCGATCTCTCGTATGGAGATGGAGGACTGCAGTTAAGTGATATTGAACGGGTGAGCGAGTCGTATGCCTCATCGAGGCAGTTCGACACGGATGACCGTTACAAAATGGAGCGAGAGCACAGTGCAGCTGCGTGTACCGAGATCAGGATCCCAAAGAAAGCTTGGACACGGATGGGTGTCGGTGCCAAACAATCGATTGCTCCGTCTCATAGCACATCAGAACAGGCGCGTCGATCGCTCGGGCGAACAGAGGGGCATTGGTGGGAGATGCGAGATCCTGAGACTGGCAATCTTATAGGAGATGTGCTGGTGGCGCTGAAGTTCCGCACGTCGATACGTGAGCACATACAGTCAGTGTGCATCTACAACATAAGCGCAATCATTCCTAGCATTGGCTTGTCCTTCCTCCACAACGCTAATTCGAGCATGGTCGAAGTGGCGTATCTTTCCATGCAACGCCTCGGGCTGTTGTACTCCTGTGCAGGTGGCAGTAGCGAAGTCGTCTTCTCGCTTGGCAATGTGCAAATGGACAACCAAATGGAGCAAGAAGTTGTGCTTGGCCCCAAGGTGCACCGCGTCAAAGAAGGTGTGTCAGTGCGGCTACGCGACCGCTGGCGCAGTTTCATGAACTACCGCTACCGCGGCATTTTCGAGGAGCTGGACACAAATAGCTCGAGCGTCATCCAGTTTCACATGTTGTGGAATTCGAGTTGCCACGCCGGCGAGTTTACTCATTACGAGCTGATTGAGCTCATCATGCAAGAACTGGAGGTTTCCACGGACGAGAAGTTTGTCGTGAATCTCATAAGCGTCTTCCAAGGTTTGGAGGGACTCACGCGTCAACATGTATTCGACGAGATTGTGAACACGCAACTCGACTATGCTGGTGGATCCAGTAGTGCTCTTATTGCAGAGTCAGATGAGCGAAGTGCCGTTGGAGGTGGCACGACTGTAAGCGTTTCAGGTGCAGAGGCCAGTGGTGTGTATATCGAAGAGCTGGTGATCGAAGCCATCCGGATCAAGTTTACCATGGAGCTGAATGGCGGTCGGTATATCAAGACCCTGGGCCCATCTGGTCGACGGTTAGCAGTGTATCTTCCCGAGTCGAATGTGAAGGACTTTCGCTTGTACCTGACAAAGCTGTCGTTCACACATTTGTACGAACCGCAGGCAAGTGTGATTGAGAAGGTAACGCGACGGTACTCCCAACAAGCTGTTATTCTAGTCCTCCGTGGCCTACACACGGTGTCCGTGTACGCGAACCCGTTTCGCATCGTCTACCGGTTGGGTCATGGCATTGTGGAGCTGATCCGTTTACCTGCGCGTGGCTTAGCATCCGGCAGCCCTCTGGAGCTCATCAGTGGTGCGTACTTGGGCGTCCGGTCGCTAGCGATGAACACGATTAGTGCCAGCTACGAGATTGTTGCGGGGGCGACAGGCATTGTGGGTGCTGTGCTGACACCGTTCGTACCAGAGAGTCGACGCAAGGCCTTCGACGAGGATTTGATTGCATTCCAACGCGCTGTGATCGAAGAAGTGGACTCTTTTGACGCTGCCGAAGAGCGCACAATGACAAAAGTGATTGTGCGCAAGCCGCGCGTGTTTGATGCAGGTGGAGTGGGGTTGCTGACTGTCTACGGTCCAGGCTCCGTGCCACTGGAAGAACAGGAGCGCATTGATCTCAAGGCTGTGGTGTTGTTGCAGCTTTGGTGGCGTCGACGACGACGAGCCAAATTACTGCTTGCCGAAGCGCGCCGACTTCGACCTGAGCCTGAGACCTCGGACCACGTGTTCGGTTCGGACCAATGTGCTGTCCAGTGAGTGCCACGAAAGGGACTACTCTGCGAGGCGATCAAGCAGTTGTCGACACGTACTCTCGCTGGCTCGTTCAATGTACAGTAGGGTGTGCAGCAAGTGAGACCCGCGTGGCTTTTCCTATTTATTGGCCACAAGACGGCGGATTGACGCGCATTGGTAAGCGAAGTACCACCCGAATGCGATGTATGATACACCCCATTGTATCGTGGTCTTGTCGGGCGTGTTTTCCATCCACTTGACGACGATACCCAATGCGACCTGTCAGGCGTCTCTTTGGTATCTCGAATATGTACCAAGTCATGGAAAGTGTGATACAAATCGATGATTTGCGTGATGGTCCCGTCATGCAGTTGCCGATCGCAAAGTCTGCTGGTTGCAACTAGATGCACGTCTTGGACTAGCGTGGACAATATTCCTTCCTTCGCAATTGCTTTGCAAACAAACACTCGCTCTGCGAGGACCTGCAACCAAAATCCCATATGTGCCAAGAAGGAACAATACAGCAGAACATGCTCCGAATGATGACTGCACGAGTTTACATGACGGTACGTCACGGCGATTCCTGTGCGCGCAGGACATACCACTGTGACGTATGTCCTGCACACTTTTACGATGTGGTGTCAGTGCATCAATCGACAGGCGGCTCAAGGAAGAGTCTTCAAGAGACGATTCGGAACAATATTGCATCCAACACGTGCAGTATATTATAACGAGGCACTCGTCCGATCAGAGAGCTGCGTATAATGACGCGATGCGACACTTTGCGTCGACAGACTTTGACGCTGCATTTTGTATTGCATGAGTCAACTAGTAGCGGTATCTTTGCAGAGTTGAGACAGAGGTGCGATGAGCAGATGACAGACGTCTATGGTACTATTGTTCCACGATACCTTTCGTTCTACCAGCAAAGATAACGTTCAGTACGCGTATGTGTATGCACTGCCGTTCACCAACCGCCTTGTTATCGATCTCTATGTGCAGTCCGCTATATGGACATCAAGTTGGTGCTCACGAGATGGCCCATTGTTGACCTTGTTGCATAACCTAAACCCTCAAGTTTGTCGTCTTGCTAGTAGTAGAAGAGGTGGGCACTATCGTTTTTCCTTGGGGTTAGCGACTTTCCCTCGTCCATCGTTCATCGCCCGAGCACGGTTCAGGAAAGTACTGTTTTAGGGTACGTCTGTCGTTTCCAATGTGTTTCGTATCCGCTCAGAATAGAAATGGGCGTCACCGCGAGCTTCGAGCGCTGCTTCTGCTTTTTAGCAAATGCTCTTTTGCGATCGAAATATACACGTAAGTGGGGTGCCTAGAAACGAGACTATACACGTGCCTGCACGCAGAACCGGTTTTTTTCACTCGGACATGTGTATAGTCAGTCGCGGACGAGCTGACCTGCAACAAGGTGGCAGTGTCACTGTCGGACGCATTTCCATGTCGTATCCGAAGCAGTTTGTAGTCGTTGTCTCAGTTGCATTGTTCCTGGCTGGAGCTCCACATGTGTGCGGCATGAGGCGTCATCACCCGAGCGAACCCTGAGAAAAACTCATTATCGATGAGGCAATGACGTGGCGAGACCGAACGAATGTGGTAGCAAATATTCAGCAGCATCTTGGAACACTGCACCACCACTTGCTTGGAATCCATTCGAGCACCATCGTAGAACAGCCGCAAATGGAGCACCAAGTACAGGGAGTTTCCATACCACAACGCCTTTCTTGGCTGATCGATTCCCTCGGAGCAACGACCGACTGAACAGTACGTCCATGTAGGAATTCCAAACTTGTAGGATTGGAACCCTACAAAAGCCCGTACCATCGCATCCACGAGCGTCGCATATCCCCAATGGCCGCACCGTCGATTGCTCACGACTGTCGTTGATACCGACAACAGAAAAGAGCTGCAGGCCGCGCCAGCGCACGGATCACCGCTGCCCAAGAAGCTCACTCTTCAATCCCCGCTGCAGTCTCCGCAGTAAATCATACTCAATCAGCCATGCGTGGCTTCCGAATCAAGTACGATCGATGGCTACAGCACTCGCCGCTGCTGACCAAAGGTGTCACGTCGGCCATTCTCTTTGGCGTGGGCGACCGCCTTGCGCAACAGATGGAGGATGCCAAACCGTCCGAGGGCGAGAGCCACGACGCCGAGACCGATGACGACTCTTTCGGACTGAAACGCACGGCACGGATGATGGTCTGGGGCGGCCTCTTCTTTGCTCCGTTCAACCACGCATGGTACAACCTGCTCGAGAAAGTTGTCCGGGGCAACACTGCGACTGCAATCGTCAAGAAAATCGCCGCTGACCAACTGATTGTCACCCCACCAGTCACGCTGTCGTTCTTCACGTATGCTGGTTTATCGGACGGCAAGTCCTTGCACGACACAATGGAGCACGCATCAGCCAAGCTCCGACCGACGCTTGCTGCAAACTGGGCCGTGTGGCCGCTCGTCCACGTCGGCACGTTTGGGTTCGTGCCCTTGCACTACCGAGTGTTGTTCATCAATGTGGTGAACATCGGGTGGTCAGCTTTTCTGTCGCGCATGGCAAGCTAAGACCGACCACCACCTCTTGCCCGTCGACACGATAGTTTGTCACGAGGGCCAGCACGTTGAGCGAAGAAGAGGGTTGACATCGGATGTCGTCGCGCTACCACATGGGATCAATAGATCGATAGAACTTGCACTTGACTTGTATAACCATCCCTTGAATCGCACGTGACATGGTCGTTTGCTGCAAGAGTTGATTATGGGTGTCATAAGGTCTCTGTTGGCTTGGTAGGAAGCAAGCACACGCTGGTCAAGTGCAACCCAACCTCCCACGCTTTCGATGTGATGCATCGCCTTGTTGGTTGCGTCAAAGTCGATGATACCCCAAGTATATCGCTGATGACTGCTGCTTCAATCGTGGCCAGTGTTTGTAATGCTCACGAGATACTCGATGGTGTGGTGCCTGGGATACGTTCATGCTGGGCGGCAGCCTGCTTCTCAGCTCACCGCCATTTCTATCTATCACAGCGGTCAGAATAACCTGGAGAGTGTGCTGCTTGGCCGTGCTGGATGGCTCCAAGAGCGACTTGCAGCATCGAAGCTGAACAGCGACCGCCAGGGACTTGCAGCCATGAAGCCTTATACCGACTGGACTGTCAGCCAGTCATTTCCGCGCATACTGCCAGCTAAACGAGTACTCGTATAGCCTCACACGCCAGCCTTACTTCACGCTACGCTTACGCTCAGCTCGACAGCAGCAAATGGGGATCGGCAAGCCATCACTGGGCTGGGTCTTGGCTAGGTTGCAGACCTTCCAGTGCCTGCTCACCTCTCTGATTCTCACGTTGCTTGCAGAATACAGCTCTTGCAACGTAATAATTGTCTAAATCTCAAGCGAGTAGAGCACATGTCGGTGACGGTAGCACCACAAAGAGGGTGGATGAGCTGTACAACATCGAGTACGTCTGCTTGTCCATGTGCAGCAGCAGAACCATGTGTCGCTTGGCTCATGAGTACGCTCGATACGAAATGCCGACACACCTTGGTGACCATCCCATACAAGACACCGTGCGTATAGTGCTGCACCACAACTTGCCAATGACGTCATCTCATCGCGGGGCCTGCTTCAACTGACGGAAACCGAGATTGATTGATGCCGCAATGGTGGCTGTAGGTGCGGATGCTCGCGTACCAGAAGAATGGTGTTGCGAGTTGCTTGTCACACATGAGCTTGCGTCCTCAGGTCCGAAGTACGTAAGAGTGCAAGTCACGGAGGTGGGTGCGGGGTGACGAGTCTCCCTTCTTCACTGGCATTCACTTGAACATACAGCTCCTGGCACCATTATTTTGACACGTATACATAAATCCAGCGCCCTGGCTGCAGGTAGCGCGACCATTCGACCTTGTCTTGTCTCTCTTACACCCCACGGATCCGCCATGCTTTCTCGTGCATTCATATGGTAACAGCGCCGATCGAGGACGGAAGAGCGACCATCTCTGTCGATGATGAAGTGCTCAAAGCACATTGCTAGGGGAGCGCCACAGTCTCCGTTGACGAAAAAGTCTCAACAATGTCAAGAGATGTCGGAATCGCTACGGTATCGACCGACGAAAAATCTCCTGCCTCGAACAAAGTCGAGCTCTCAATGTTGCGGACACGCGTCGACTTCTTCGCGTGCGCTTTCTATTTCAGAGCTTCCGACGTGGCTGCTCGTACGTCCGCCGACTCTTTCTTGCCTTCTGCTGCTTGGTGTGCCTGCACGTCTGCAAGCAGTCTCGTCACGTCAACGCTCCGAGCAAACGCATCAACAACTCTCTCGGCCAGTTCATTTTCAGCCACCGATAGGAACACACCAGCGACCGCCTCTTCCTCGTCCTCGTCAGCATGCTCGGCAACTAGAGCGCTATGTCCACCGTCAGTCAGCTCCGGCAAAAAGCCATAGACGTGCTTGTCCGGCTGAAACTGCTCAAAGTACGCCGTCACGTACTTCCGGCAGTCCGTCAAGGCATAGAACCCATCTCCCGGCAACCGATTGAAGATACTGCCCAGCACTTTGACGCCCTGGCGCTCGAAAAACGCCGCATTCAGATTAAACGAGTCCACCGCGTCGCCCACACCTTTTTTGCCCACTAGTACCACTGGCAAGGCCAGCGTCTGCGCCACGTGAGCGTTCGAGACGCCACAAATCGAGCCCACTGCCGGATACCCCACGCCGTCCACGACCACGACCTTCTTGCCTCTCCCCACCTCGACAATCGCCTCCTTTGCCTTCGCCAGCAGCTCCATCGACGACACGTCCGTCGCGCCCGCCACAAACTTCCTCGTAAAGCCCTTGTAGAACACAATTGGCCCTACTTCACAGCACGCGATGCCCTGTTGACGGCAAAAGTTCGTCACGAGCTGCGGCTTCTCGCACTGCGTTGCGGGTTTGATGTACGCCACATCGCTCGCGCCATAGCCGCGACGCAGCAGCGTCCCCAGTAGCCCTAAACACACGGTCGACTTGCCCACTTGCGCGCGGTCGCCACTGACAAAGAGCCGCAGGGGTAGGGCGGCCGCGCGGTGGTCGGACGCGCAGCAGCGATTGGATGAAAATCGACGCTCGAGCAGCTCCTGTTGCAGCCACTGCACGAGCGCCGACTTGCCCGAGATCAGGAGCTCGTTTTTGGCCAATGAAATGCGCGCAAACAGTGCACCCCGTTCGCGACTGGCATCCACGCGCGCGCCAGTCGACTTGAGCGCGTGCGACAGCAGTTGGTCGAGTTCGCCAGCAGTGGCAACGACCTGAGTGTGCAGCGAAAGGCCAGCGCCGTAGAGAGCACTGAAGCCACGTACGAAGCGCAGTGCTTCGATCAACGCAGTGTCGTGCGCTCGACCAAAGATGACGCAGTGCACGTGGGACTCGGCCATGTGGTATTGTAGTGGGGGGGCGTAGCGTCGAATGCGGTGTCGTACCGGTACGCAGCGGTAATATACGATTTGAGAGGAACACAAGCGGCGAGGGACGACGACGTTGGTGCGATCGATTCTGTATACGTCATCAACACGGAGTCAAAAGACGCGCTTTGTCTTTGGATCGGCTGACAGGGAGGAAGACACGTAGCTGAAACGACGACGGCAAATCAGTACAAACAATCAAAGACACACAGCGAGCGAACAGCACAACAGACGATGGACAGGTGTCGCATCATCAGAGAATGTATCGGATCTTCGTGTTGTGTTTCTTTTCTTGTCTCATGCTGAACCGATAGCTCGTACCCCTACCCGCTTCTCTCCGGCATCAGACGCGCCTACTCACTCTCTCACACTCACCCAAACTGCCACAATTGCCACAGCAGATATATATCGTCCACAACGTTTAGCATCCGTCTTCGCGATCAGAACACACGTAGAGACACAAACGCCATGACGCAGACAGCACACTGCAGCCAATTGTTCGCTCCCCCCATCATCTCGTGGCTCCGTTCTGTTCCATCTCAGATGCCTCCAGTCTGGCGAAACGCAACACGTCACACGGGTTTATGCACGAGATACAGAAACTGGACACAAGCAAAACATCGCCTGCGTGATCAGTCTCTTGTCCTCCGTAGCCACCACCCCCAGCCCTAGTATCGACTTGTCCACCGATTGGCTCAGTAGCTCAGTGGCTTATTCACAACCACAACCACAAAAATTCACCGACCGACCAACTGACCGACCAGCAGCTCACACACATAGCTCCTCAGCAGCCCACGTGCCCATTCCGCGACTCGCCTCAACGCGACTGCACGTGCCCACCCCTCCGCCCGCCACATGCGCCCGCTGTATCCTGGCGGCCCCGGCTTTGGCTTCCCGGGCCCGTCGGGCCTCGACTTGCCGCACTCGCACAACCCCCACGACGACATGGCGCTGTCCATGGCGCGCGACCTGCGGCTCTTCTCGTGCTACTTTGTCGTGGCCGAGTCGCTGGCCACGTTCGTGGGCTACCGCATCGCCCAGCACTGCATACGCGGCTGCCGCGTGTACTTCCTCTCGCCCTCGCAGCGCCTGTGGATTGGCTTTGTCTACTGTTGGCTCAAGATCCGACTGGTACGTGGTCGTCTGCCGTCGTCCGGCAACCGCTTGGCAACAAACTGGCGACGAACACGAAGAGACGCGCGTTTTTGTGTCGATTTGGATCGCTGCTGGTGACGCTGATTTTGGTGACGCTGATTTTGGGACACTGTTTTGTGATTTGTGCGCCGATTTTTGTGTGCCTCGTTACAGATCGACTATGCGTTCCACGGCACGGCGTACTATGCGCTGACGCTGCTCATCATGGCCGTCTACTTTGTGTACGCGCTGCTGGCCTTTGGCTTCCACTTTGGGCCGCTGCAGTTCCTCTTCTTCGACTACATACCGCGGCGCCAGATGACGCAGAGCGCGATGTACAAACTCGCGCGGCTCTGCCAACAAGTGTCGGTCCGTCTCGAGTGTTACGTGCTCCAGCAGCTCATTTGCCGACCGCCACTCGAGACGCGCGATCGAGACGCCATGACGTCGTCGGTCATCTCGACGCACGCGCGCGTTCCGCTGGACTCGACGTCGTCGTGTCGTCCCCAGCCGGTCGAGTTTGCGCGCGTCACGTCGTTCTTTGGCCGCAAAGTGGACGTCAACATCAAACAATGGAACGCGTCCATGTGTCAGCAGTGGGCCGCAGCACTGAGCGCAGCCGCGCGCTCGAGCGCCTGGCGCGTGCGCACAAAGTGTGCACCTGCCGCGCTGGCCGACAGTGTCTTTGAGTGCCGCTTTGTGTTTGTCATGCAGCACGATGGCATGCTGCTTGGCTTCTTCATGACGAGTCCCACGGCGACGCTCATGACCAAGTTCAGGGACGGCAAAGTGGTGCCGTTCGAGCTGCTGCAGCGGTTCCATTGCAGCGCACGCGCGGCGCTTGCAGCTACGCAGCCAGTGTTCCTGTACGCAGAGAGCCCGAGCCTTGTGGGTCGCGCGACAGTCGCTCAGAAAGACGCGGTCTACGCACTGCTGCGACAGCTCAACAGCGCTCATGGCTACACGGCTGACGTGGCTCTCCGTGCTCTGCGTAGCGAGAACTTTATGGACGCTGGCATTGGCCGGGTGGTGAAGAAGAAGGTACGCACGACGACGGGGTCGTTCAGTGGGTTGGATCCCTACTGAGCGGCGGCGGCTGCGCTACAGCAGGTAGTCTCGGCTTTATTTATGTTCGTGATGGATTCCCCGCTTGAGTACAATGCGAAAGCGCGCGACCCAACGCAGTCTGTTGTCCACCTTGTGCACGTCTTGGAGCGTTCTTGCTGCGTGTCGCGACAGTGCTAGCAGAACTGTGGTGGAGGCGGGACAGTCGGCACCATACCCAACGCGAACTCTGCTCGCTGGAACTGCTCTGCGTTCCAAGCGTCGTCGCGAGCGTCAGGAGGTGGGCCACGTATTGATGGTGGGGTCAGTGGAGGCGGCAATGGTGTCGAGGATCCGCTGGACGTAGGTAGAGCACCGACTGCCGAGCTTCCAAGCGCTTCGACGGCATTGCTGGCACTTGCTGTACGCGCTGGAACGCCTCCGAACGGACTGCTGGATGGCACTGCAAACGAGGATGGGGAACTTGTGCTGAACGATGCAGGCGCTCCAAATGGATTCGCAGCCTCTGTCGAGGTGCCAGACGATGAGCCAAATGCCGATGACGACCCGCCAAAAGGTGCGATCGTAGCGTTACTCGACGACGAGGCGCCACCGAAAGGGCTGGTAGCCGATGCTGGTGTGCTCAGCGTACCGCCAAATGGGGTGACGGCCGGAGGTGTGCCAAACGACGAACCGAAAGGTGAAGATACCGGCGTCGCTGAGCTGCCACCAAACGGTGAAGCTGCCGGTCTCGCTGCGTCCTGACCGAATCCCGCGACACCTGTGCCCATCGTGCTGCTCTCGCCAAAGGCTGTGGCAGGCCCACTAAACGGCGATGTAGACGACGGCGTTGCCACTCCAAATGCGGACGTAGGGTTCGCTCCAAACGGACTCCCTGCAGGTGTCGCCGGTTTGCTGAACACAGACGTAGCTGCAGCACCTCCAAATGGGTTGGCAGCAGCACCTCCAAACGGATTGGCAGCAGCACCTCCGAACGGATTGGCAGCAGCACTTGCGCCAAATGCCGCACCGCTACCTGCACCGACCGCCGACGGTGCACCGAATGCCGTCGTAGAACCAAACGGACTTGCAGCAGCACCGCCAGACGCTGTGCTTCCGCTTCCAAACGCTGTGCCGCTGCTTCCGCCTCCAAACGGAGTCGCTGCTTGCGTTGCATGGCTTCCAAACGGCGACGATGCCGGAGCAGCAGCAGTGCCACTACCAAACGGCGACGACGCACCTTGGAATGGGTTGATCCCTGTCCCTGCTCCAAATGGGTTGGCATTCACACCAGTCTCTGCTCCAAAGGGGCTGGCGACCCCACCCGGTCGACCTGCGGCACTTGACAGGGGCTCGCCATTGAACAGCTTCTGAGCCGACTGGTGGTCCTCCAGCAGCGACAAGACCCGCTGCCGCTGTATCTGCTGCTCGGCTGCCAGTGCGTGTAGCTTCTGCGTCGACTGGACACAGCTGCCGGACGTGTAGAGCTCCTGGTACGCTTCCCATCGCGCTTCTTCACAGCTCACGTCGCCCGCGACTACGCTCGGCAGCTACAAACAACGCCAAAAGAAGAAGAAGAAGAAGAAGAAGAAAAAGACCCACACAACCGCATTGCAACCCCACGACCCGCGTCAGTCCCGCACTTCTTCTTCTTCTCAACATGGGTACACAAGACAGCTGTGCCCCAATTGATTCTCTTACGCCTTTTGTGACGGCAAAACCTGACAGTGGCCACCGAGGCGGATGGCGGAGCTCTTCGATCGCCAGCGCCCGTCCTGCCTCTGTCATCGCGACACCCGCTGGCGGCAGCCGCGAGCTCGTGGACTGCGACAGGGCGCCAAAGCCGCTACTGGGGCCACGTCCGTCGTGGGCAAAGCGGCAGGCGGCGCCGTTGCGACATGTGCCCTGCAAGAAGAACTTGCACGGCTTTGGTCGGTGCATTGTCGGGACTGATGCGCGAGGGGCACTGGAGGCCATACCGGTGTCATTCTCGCGAGGGAAACCGACGACGTCCGCTGTCGGTATCTCGAGAAACCCCTAGTCGCAGCTATTCATATCGTGACGAGCGGATCCATTCGTGGTGACGAACGTACTGAGCGTGTCAATCGTAACATGCGATGCAAAGAAGAGGCAATTGGCGGACTGCTGCTCGTGGCGTCGATTGCCACGACAGGTGTCTACGAGTCGGCTCTAGTGCGCAGTGTCCGGAGCTTCGAAGAGGGGAGAGCCGTAGCGATTGCGCTGCCTCAGCCCCGTGTGTCCAGTAGGACGGAAGACCACCTGGTTGTATTCTCGGGGCTGATCACGACCGCCGTCTCGACAGACGGTACGACGGCTGGACAAGAACATAAGAGACCGAAGAGCGACCGCGTCCCGCTCCGCGGCCAAAGCCCAGTTGTGCTGGACGGGACGTTTGGCATTGCAGCCAAAGGTGTGCGACTTTATCGGCATGTGGAGATGCTGCAGTGGGTCGAGACGTCGCACACGTCGATGAGCAGCGCACCAGAGGACGAAGACCAGCGATTCGACGACGATCGAGAGCGGACGTACATGTACGACATGCGCTGGAGCGAAGAGCGGATCGATAGCATGGCGTTCCATGACCCGAGCTATGCGAATCCACCGCCGGAAGCGTGGACGTACACGTCGCTCGTCGTGACGGCAGCAGATCTTGTCGTGGGCGAGTATGGGCTGCCGGAGGAGCTCGTCGATCAGATTGCACGCCGGGATGTCGTGCACCTGGACACTGCAAGTCGTCGGGTGATGGCAAATGTGCTAGAGCAGCGAAAAGGAACAGGATGGCAACGAGCAAGTGCGTTGACGAACGTATCCGTGACCGACGACTGCTTTTATTTCCAGAGCGAAGAGCCCGTGCTCGGCGACCAACGCGTGCACTTTGACGTGACGCCAAACTACCCCGTGACTGTCTGTGCCAAGCAAAAAGGACGCGAGCTCGTTCCGTTCACGAGCTCTACTGGCGAAGCGCTTTTTTTGCTGAAAGACGGGATCATGACTGCACATGAGCTGTTTGACAAGGCAACGCACGCAGAGGTACGTCGTGATGGCGTATGCAACAACAAAGGAGGTCGCAATATCCCAAGCCACTTGTTGTGTCTCGTGCCTTGTTATGTCTCGTGCTGCTGGCGCACAGGTGAGCAAGAACAGGTTCTTCAGGCTGTTTGCAGGCGTTCTGGGCTTTATCGGTTTCCTCGTGCTGCGCAGCCCTCTGATCGAGCGCTATGGGTCTCTCCTCGCGGGCATTCCGCAGCACTTGTTGGCCAGCAGTTTGAGCGCTGCGCTCACGTTTTCCGTCGTTGGCGCCACGTGGAGTCTGTACAGGTACGTACGTCGAGCAATTGTATGGGAAAAGCTCCGGCCTGAAAATGTCGCGACTCTGAACACTGCCACTTGTCTGCTGTTGACTGACTTTTTTTTTGGTTGCGGTGATGGCGTATGTGTGTACACAGCCCGCTATGGGCACTTTTGCTGTGGCTCGGGGGCTGCACGCCGCTCGTGGGTCTGTTCCTCGTGTTTCGCTCGACGCAGCCGTTAAAAGCCCAATAATAAAGCGCGACACTGTACCCAACACGTCGAACAACAAGACAGTGGAAAACAAAATGTGCTGGTCGCCGGACGTGTTTTAAACAAACCAAAAAAACGACCCGCCCGAAACATCCTGTTCTGACGCGATCGAGAGAGAGATAGTATCGATCCGCGCGAGTCGACCGACCCGTGTGCATCGGTCGCGGATAGATACCGTCGTGGACCGGTCGAGAGAGATAGTATCGATCCGCGCGAGTCGACCGACCCGTGTGCATCGGTCGTGGATAGATACCGTCGTGGACCGGTCGAGAGAGATAGTATTGATCCGCGCGAGTCGACCGACCCGTGTGCATCGGTCGCGGACAGATACCGTCGTGTACCGGTACCTCTCGCCGCAACACACGCAGTCGTCTCTTTTCATCCAATGAAACGACCGACTCGACCGGCGCCAGTCGTTTCGTAGCCATTTTGAGCCCTCATCGCGTGCACCCACTCGGCGTCAACTGGACTCGACCGCCTTCTTCGTCGTAAGGATGCAAGTAGAGGCGCAAGCGCTGGTCGTGAATGCGCAGTCCATTGCGCAGTACGTGCAACAGCCGTCCGATGAGCCAATGGACGACGCGGCAGTCGTGCGCCCGCAGTTTCCAGCCCTGAGCGCGCAGCAGTCGACGGGGGGCAAGAACGACTTCCGTCGGGTGCGTGTGCCTGCGCACCGGTACACGCCGCTCAAGACCGATTGGGTCAACCTCATGAAGCCCATTGTCGAGCACTTGAAGCTGCAGATCCGCATGAACACCAAAACGCGGTGCATTGAGCTCAAGAATTCGCCCCAGACGACCGACGCTGGTGCGCTCCAGAAAGCAGCGGACTTTGTGCAGGCGTACACGATGGGCTTTGAAGTGCAGGACGCTGTGGCGCTGTTGCGACTCGACGATTTGTTTATCGATACGTTTGAAGTGCACGACGTCAAGATGCTCAAGGGCGACCACTTGAGTCGGGCCATTGGCCGCGTTGCAGGACAAGACGGCAAGACCAAGTACGCGGTCGAGAACGCGACCCGCACGCGGATCGTTCTGGCCGACCAGAAGGTCCACATTCTCGGCTCGTTTGCCAACATTAAACTCGCTCGCGACGCCATTTGCTCGCTCATTATGGGCGCCCCGCCGGGCAAAGTGTACAATAAGATGCGCAACGTGGCGAGTCGACTGAACGAACGGTTTTAGATGGACGCAGCAGCGGGTTTTGCTGGACAGCGAGTCGAGCGGTGGCGCGTGCCGCAAGTGTTTGTTGGTTGGCTTTGGTCGAGGGATACCACAGAAAAGAGAGAGAGAGAGAGAGAGAGAGGGACGAGGAGATCAACAAACATGTGACGGTGTCTACTACGGACTGGTCGATGCATTATCCGACGCTGCTCGTGCTGCTTTCGTCACTTAAATATAGATTCACTTGGCTTTGTCGCTCTTTGCACGCACCCCTTCTACGTGGGAATCTCGTGCTGGTGTACGGACAGACGCAGTGTGGCGAGCGCTGTTGCGTTCGTGCTCGATCAAAACACGGTAAGAGCTGGCTGTCGCCGTGCCGTGTCGTATCGTGTCCCGAAGACTGTGCGTCTCGCTGGCTTACCATGAGCTCCGTCGGGCCGTCCTTGACAGCAAATGCTGCGTGCGGTTCTCGAAGCACAGACAGAGCCCGGTAGGCAATGGCCGAGAAACAAGCGCCAGCTTGGAAAGGGCTCGACATATGCAGTCTGCAATGCAGTCCACCTACACGGCACACTGTCTTCGCCCATGTTCGCGTCGTGGAGCTAGCGTCGGTACCGCCGTTTGCCAGTTTGACAGGCGTCTAAGATCCGATGCAGTTCCCCTGTGATGGGTTCAATGCTCTTGTCTGCTTCGAAACAGTCGAGCGACTCCAAGTCCCCGCTAGACATCTCGCTGTAAAAAGCCAGAATCTGCAATCCACGACCGCATGAGAAGGTCAATTCAGCGCGTGTTACTTCATCATCAGCCAACAAAGAGTAGAGAGAGAGAGAGAGAGAGAGAGTAGAGAGAGAGAGTAGAGAGGGACGAGAGAGGACCGCCAACGCACCATGTGCGCAGACCCGTAGCAAGAGAACATGCCCTGTACTCCTCGAACATGCACAACCTGCGGATCGATCTGGTTCAGCGTCGCCGCTATCGATAACACCAACACCAACAACATCAATAGCAATACGCATCGTCAATCACAACAGCCCGTGTGAACCTCTCCATCTTGACAACCACCTCACACACAAACGTCGCAGCAAACGTCGCAGTTGCACTAACAGCACAAGTACGCACCAAACTGCAGCGCTGCGTCCTTGAGGTTCATAATGGTGCGCATAAACTCGTCCGTGTTCACCTCCGTCGTCTCCGATTGCGCTCTATGGCCCACACAAACACACACCCCACGGAGGTGAGCAAAGCAGCCACAACAACAACAACAACAACAAGTCACGTCGAACGCTCCCACCACTACCATACAATATATTGCAATACCGCAATACCCCCCCACCAATACCCCCACCAATACCACCACCAGCAATACCACTACCACCAATACCAGCAATACCACCACCTACAGTACTATAACAACAATCATGCAACAGACTGGGGCACGCACATCATGGCCCCCGTGTCGCCGTCCAGGAGACAGACGTAGCTCGTGCCGGGGTACACGATCTGAATGCGCTCAAACTGCTCGTGGAAGAGCCCGTGTCGCTGCACGTCGCTGCGTCTGCGCGACAGACAGCGACACCAGAGACTCATGCGGAGAGGGCCAGCGCCGGCCGAACGTCGCGTCACGCAGCCTTTGACTCGTCTGCTCGACAAGCAGTTTCGTCCAATCGTGTGATGGGAACTGCTGCAACCTTTTGGGGCCGCGCTGTCGGCAAAAAAGGGGCACACACGTGTCGTACTTAACGCGAGCGGACCAACTGCACGTCGACGAGCGGCTGCGGTCTGCAAGGAATCGAATGTTTGCAGATGCAGCAGCGAGTGATGATTGGAAGAAAAGGCGGGGGGGGAGGGGGAGTTATGGGTACCCGAGTTAAATAACAGCGTTTGTTCCGGTTGAAACTCATTTCTAACGCTTTTACGACCACACGCGAGCCAGAGAGACACTCCTCCTATAAAACCAACAGAGGACGGCGATTGATAACGATAATGATGGCCGCGGCGGTCGTTTAGTTGGCGCGCTCGACGACCCAGTCCGGACAGTCCCGCGGCAGGACAAACAACTCCTGACGTTCCTCTGGGTTTGCAAATGAAAAGCCATACGTCAATGACACGATCTCAACGCGGGGCAAACGCAAATAGCCTAGTCACCAAAAGTAGCATTAGCAAGCGTTAGAACACAGGAAGGAAGGAAGAGCATCTGCTCGAAACAAGCTGCGTGCACACACAAAACGTACCAGTCTTCATCGGTACGAGCCCGAGTCGGAACACTTGCTCGTCGAAAGGCAGCACGTGTTCCGTCACATTTGTACGGCCCGAGATGAAAAACGCATCCGCGGCATCCACAGACTTGACCTGGAGACTGTGCACGACAGCCTCGTTGTTCTTCACACGGACGTTCATATAGTCCAGCACTCCTTCCACGCCAAACGGGGGCGTCTCGACGCTGATAGTGAGGGGCGCCACGATAAAGGAGACCAACGGCATATCGAGCCACGTCCGCACGACGTCGTTGCTAGGACCGTCATGGGCACGAGCGATACGTGACGACTCACGCCTCCAAACAACTTCCACTCGGCCAAGTGTGACAAAAGGCGACGCCATTGTCGGTACCAGTCGTAGGCAAAAACACCACGAGTCGCCGTCTGTAAAAGTAGCGCAAACATTGGCGCTGTCACTGCTATCCAGCTCGGTAGAGGTGGATCCAAACCCAGATGTAGCCAAAGCTTCTTCCATGTTTGTCTCACGTGGTTCAAAATGCAGCGCAAGCACACGAAGTGCCTCTCCGGATGTGCATGTAACCCTTCCTTGGTAATTCACCAAACTCCCCACGCACCCATAGGACCCTTTCGGCCTTTGTGCAGTACCAGGCACGCCGCCACCGGTAAGAAAATCAGAAACGAAACCGCCGTCAATCGCAAACGGGTCATGGCATATCAGCTTGAACCGTTCGTCAAAGCCTACAGACACGCCATTGTTCGTAGTGTATGCCACGGACGCGATCAAGGTCAATGACGCTGCTTTGGTTGAGCGCACGACGACACGGACAGCTTCTTCAGTGTGGACGTTCTTACTCGACAGAGCGATCCGGTCCCGCGGTTGCAAATTAGCGTCCAGCGGCACTGGAGTCAACACGCCGGCTTGCTCAGTGAAGAAGAACGCATCCTCAGGTGCCAATGATGCCGGTGGAGGTGTACAAATGATCTGGAACGTCACATTCTCCATCGCGTCTTCATTTGCTGCCAAGCGAAAAGCAAGCTCACGGAAGTCTCCTGTCAACAGCGGTTCGTTCGAAAACAAAGACAGAGTGGCTTTTGCACGCGGCTGCACAATCTGCAATGAGGAGCCTCGAAGATGCGTGGACCCGTCCTCTTCGACGGGCTCACGTACCTCGAGGTGGGCGGGTCGGGGCCCTTCGACTAGTGAAAACATCGATTTTCGCTTGGAGAAACTCGGAGACGCAGAGCCATTGCCCATGGCAGGAACACGGCCACTCATCAGGTACGGCTTCGGCACCACTCGTTGCTCTGCGGAGGCGCGTGTGACAAGCAGACTAAAAGCCAAAGCAGCAGCCGCCTTTTGCCCATCGATCTTGGTGTTTTCCATTTCCACATCGTCGTCTCCGCCACATAAGCATAATCGCACTTCCTGGATGGAGAGCAGTTGCCGGCCGTCTAGCACACGCAGTGGTATACGGAGCTCCTTGACCAGTCTATGAGTAAAGTCCAGTGAAGTAGACAACCTTCCGTCCACGCAAGTAATTGTCCCGGATTCTGCTCCATCTCGGTGGTAAAGCATCGTGCGATAGCGCTCGTCATTGAACACCAACTCAATCTTCGACAACACGAGCGGCAACGGAAAATGGGAGCGCAGTGTCAGCTCCAATGTGACATCCTCCTTCACACAAGCAGAAGCGCGGTCAAACTGAGCGGTCAACGCAAACACTGCGCGAGACCGATCAAGTGCGAGTTCATGCACGTTTCTGGGCGCAGAGTTTTGTGCGAATGGTGCACCCAAAGACGCCGGACCCCTCCATGCTGTGAAGAATGAGTCCTGAATACGACTGCGTTCTTTCATCGACACAAACTCCTCGACGACAGGAGACAGCAACTGTAGCGAATAATCCATGTACGCATCAGTATCTCCTTGGCGCAAGGTGCAAATAAGCAGCTGCTTTAGAATCTGAGCAGTTTGGGCCCAGCAGTTTTCACTACTGAATATCTCCTTGGCTTTCTGCAACTCATTGCGTGAGCGATCGTACTCACCCGAGGCAAGTCGTTCTGTCCCTAAATGAACCAGCAACCGGCCTTTCAATCGACTCCGCGGTGCATTCTGGTCTGCCATATACATTGTGAGGTGCTGAAGTGCGTGCTCTAGCAGAAGGAGAGACTGCCTAGCGTGTGGGACACTCTTTTCCATACTGTGCCGATACTTCACGAGTGCCGCCACTGACGGGCCCTGTGATGCAGCCCTTGCTTCGGAAACCGATGGATCTCCGCCAATAAAAATAGAAGGCACCACAACGAAGTCTCCTTCCGACATGCTTTCTCCGTTTGCCGCGACAGTCTGCACAGCAGCAGCAGCAGTGGTGGTGAGACCCAGCTTCATAGCTGCTTTTCTTCGAAAGATGGCGTACTTTGCTGCGAGAGAAAAGTACAAATATGGCTCTTTGTACACGTTTGACTCCAGCCCAGTACTCGGTAGTGAGCCTCGAATAGAAAGAGCCTCGACCAGCAATTGAGCAAAGATGTGGTACTGACGAGACACCCAAGCCCAGTGCTCGCAAGCTCGATCCGGCACAACAATCGCATGAGCGTACACGCCCATATGGCGTCGGAGCTGACCAACTGCATCATTAACGTTGTTCGACGAAAAAATCAAGTGGTAGCACAGTTTCAAGTTCACAAACTCTGCCATTGTCATCACCTGCGTGAAAGCGATCCCATCAGCAGCCTCGTTCTCTCTCAACGGCAGCGCAAGAATGGCGCGATACGAAGCTTCATAGTATTGCAGCACCTTGGCCGTGTAGCGTCGAAATTCGTAGAAATGTGCAATCTTGAAGTTAAACCTCGCATGCAGGGCCTGGTACTCCGCTGTCCTGGCACAAGCCTTCTCGTATCTCTTCACTCGTTTCGATTGCACCTTGTAGTACTCGAGTGCCATAGTACGCACAGTCGACTCGAGTTTTACCATCACACTCGATGCACACGTGACATCCTTTGACGTTACAAGCACGAGTCCCTTTGCATCAGTGTCCAGTCTCCTCCTCAAGTTGGCCAGTCTCTCTTCCGTCACGTTCATCCATGCCCCATCCACGTCGTCCACTTGCTGCACAAGAAGGACCATCACATGACACTCTCTAGCTGCACAGCAGTTTCCACACACACACACACATACACAAAAACCACCCGGTCAGCAACAGAAGAAGAAGAAGATGATGATGAACACACGAGCAAATGGTGGACCGTGGTGGGGTGAGAGACCATCTGATCGCGGCATACAACCCACTTGCGGGATAGAACATACCTGATACGGTCCGTTTGAGCTGCTCAACGTCTTCGACCAGCGCCGTCTCCCTCTGCTGCCAGTCCTGTAGCATCCATCGCGGATCAAACTCGTCAAAGAGCAGAACCACAGCCGGCAGCAACTCGTGGTGTTTCTTGATCCATTGCGTCTTGACAATGCCTTGTGTCCGGTACGTGTCCAAGTCGCGCTGCGTTTGGCTGGAGAACGTCCCGTGCTTCTCGCGCAGCTCCTTCTTCGCAGGAAAACGGTGCTCCCGCGGCAGCGACGCAAAGTGCAGCTTCGGCACAAACTTCTCGTTCACCGCACGCATGTGCGGTAGCACTTTGTTCTGCAGCTCGTGCGAGCCGAGCGCCGCCACGAGCGGGTACGGCGTCTCCCTGAGCTCGACGCTCATCTCCATGGCTGGCTGCGCACTTGCTCCCTTTTCCCCGCCTACTCGTACCGGTTTCTGAACGGTATCTGGAAAAAGAAACGTCGGTCGAAAAAAAGTAAAGTACACACCACGCCGCCCTCTCCGTGATCGACTGCAAGAAAAGTAAATAAATTACAGTGCGATGTCAAAAAGCATGGCGACGCGACTGCTGCCGCGGGTGATCGCGCCGCGGATGACAGGGACGACGTGCGTACGTACGTCGCGGCGCCGACTCAGCTCAGGAAAACGTGCAGAAGCGAATGTGCAACACACCACGACAACGTACTGGAAGGAGCCGAGTCTGCGCGTTCGTATCGTGCCTATGCTGGACGACAACTACGGTAACGACACGACGGTAATTGATGCTCCAAGTCGTGCGATCACTAACGGCTCTCGTGATGACGTGTTGCAAACAGGTTACATTGTGGTGGACGAGGCGAACCACACGATGTTTGCAGTCGACCCTGCTGAGCCGAGCAAGATCTTGCCAGTCTTACGAGAGGAGGAAAAGGCGCAGAACCGCCGGTTCCTCGGTGTCTTGACCACGCACAAGCACGCGTACGTCCGTGTCCGTTGAAGATTTAGTACTTGGATTGTATCATAGCTCATCGTGTTTTTCGGTGCCAAACCTTTTCACTGCGCTGTCTGCAGTGATCATGCCGGGGGCAACATCGAAATGGCAAAACAGTACCCGGGCGTGATGATTGTCGGACCGGAACATGAGCCGATTCCAGCTCGAAATCGATCAGTGAGTGGCGGCGAAACGCTCGTGATTGGTGCGGCGAAAGTGGAGGTGCTGGACGTACCGTGCCATACAAAAGCGCACGTGGCGTACGTCGTTACTGGCGATAACGAGACGCCGCCGCTGCTGTTCCCGGGCGACACGCTGTTTGTCGGAGGCTGTGGACGGTTCTTTGAAGGCACTGCTGAGGACATGTACAGGGCTTTGTACGACGTGATTCTCGAGCTACCAGCAGATACAAAGGTGTACTGCGGGCATGAGTACACGATGTCGAACCTGCGCTTTGCTCTCAGCATTGACCCGTCGAACCAGGCTCTGCGCAACAAGATTGCAGCTGTTCGTATCCACCGAGCAAAAAATCTACCCAGTGTCCCGTCGTCGCTACGTGAAGAGATGCTTTACAATCCATTTTTGCGGGTACACGACGAGACGATCCGCAATGCTGTTGGCGGTTCGGACGCGGTCAGCGTTCTGGGAAACCTTCGTCGGCGCAAGGACTCGTTTACGTAAAGAGAGGTTCCTGGCGGCTGGTTGGCAAGCGATCCGAGCTCGGCGAGTGCGCGTCTCCACGTTCGTATAGACTGGTCTGATTCTTGCCAACGCCATCGATCGGCACATCCGACTCATGACCGGATGTCCGAGCAACTGAGTGCGATCGAAGAAGTCCAGCGCCGTGACAGTCAGGGAACCACCTGCCACGATAAGAAGCACTATTGGAGCTATTGGAGCTATTGGAGCTATAGTAGCTACTCGTATCACTTCAAGAGTGCAACACGCGCTGCGTAGCCTGACAAGCGGTTCTTGCGCTATCAATCGACAATAAGATTGTCAACATGTCTAACGGTCGGCCTCTACAAAGACAGAAGTCGTTCTGCTGAGCTATCCCACAAAACTAGTCTTCACGCTCGCAGGGCGGTATAAATGCGTAATCGTCCACAGCCACGCGCTTCGGAATGTCCACTGCTTGCGCCATACATTCGGATCAGCTCGAGAATCGACTACGATCGTTTTTTGCTGCTTCGTGCTCGACGCAAAAGGTGCTCGACCGATCGTGTGGTTCCATCACCACCTCATTAGCGTCCTCTATTATACGGCGTAAAAGAGCACATCGATTTACGATTATTTGCAGCGCTCCTTCCTTCGTGATAATATCTGATCCCTTCGGTCGAGATAAAATACACCAAACCAGCGAGAGCCACTCGGGCGCCCACTAAGTACGCAGCTAACCACAGAGCATGTTCAAGAAGCTCTCGGAGCGCTTCCCCGCCGCCGCGACGCGCCTCGAAGCCTACGCTGGCGCCAGTATCCACGACGCGAACGCCAGCAACGACAGTCCCACGTCTCCTTCTCTCGCACGGGACGAAGCCGGAGACGCGACAGAGACAGCCGCAGCGTCAAGTGCGCCGCTGCTCTTTGGGGAAGAAAACAAGAGTGATGGTCAGTCCACAACCCTAAAGGCAACTTTAAGCGACCGCTTTACGTCCGAGTCGGTCTCCGTCGCTGCTGCGGGTATGATGGGCCTACTGAAAAAGGCCCAAGCAGTGGCAACGACCGCAGCAAAGGAAGGGGCCGTGAAGGCCCGTAAAGCGCTGGACGCCGCCGATATGGACGCGCTCCAGCGCCGACTGAGCTACGCGCTGGACCGCTCGACGGGCGAAGTGGACTTGACGCTGCTGAACTTTTCGTACATAACTGAGCACATTGTAGCCATGGGGTTCCCCAATATGAACTTGGGCACCACGCGCACGCTGTTGAAGGACAATCCCATTGATTTGGTCGCCATGTACCTCAACGGGAAACACCGTGGCCAGTACATGATTTGGAACTTGAGCGAAGAGGCGTACGACAATGCGTACTTTGACAACCAGGTGCTGGAGTTTCATTTCCCAGGACACCCAGCGCCGCCACTGGGTCTGGCGTTCAAGATCTGCTCCTCGATCGAGAGCTGGCTTGAGGCGGACGACAAGAACGTAGCGGCCGTGCACTGTCTCACGGGCAAAGGGAGAACAGGGACCGTGATTGCCTGCTACTTGGCATGGGTAGGCCACTTTTCGAATGCCATAGAGAGCTTGGAGTACGTGGCCAAGCAGCGACAGACGTCAGTGGAGAAGCTTACGATTCCGTCGCAACGCAGGTACGACGCACGTGCATCCTGGCTGTCACACCATGTTGTTTGTTTGAATTTCCGAGCAATGTTTGTTGCTGTGTGTGCTTTCTCTTGTCTGATTGTGTAGGTACATCCAGTACTTTAACAATGTAATGGATGGCGTGAAGCCAAGATCGTCGCCGTTGTTGCTACGGCGCGTGATCATCAATACGATTCCAGTGTTTGGAGAGCGACGCGTGTTGGAGCAGGCAACGAAGACGTGTACAAATGATGGATCGGACATGGTTGGAGTGGAAGGCGAGTCCCTTACATCGTCAGCTGGTGCTGCCACTGATGCTGCCGCTGGAGAGACAGATGATGCAGAGGTAGCTGAAACAGTCGAAGAAGGCTGCTGTCCGTATCTGCAGATTTTCAAGGCAGGGAAGCTTGTCTTTACAACGACGTGGCGCGATATGGAGGACGGACAGGGAGTTCAGTGGGCGAGCACGACCGACGGTTCAGTTTCGTTCAACGTAAACTGTATGCTACAGGGAGATATTCTGATTCGTTGTCGTCACCTGTCGGATGCCGGAGAGCGTGTCTCAATGTTCCGTGGCGCTTTCCACACGGGCTACATTCCGCAGGGTGTCTTGAGGTATATCTTGAATATTGTTGCCGTATTGTGGCGCCTGTTGCTACGGTGTTTGGTGACTTATCAGGCCTGTCTGTGTCCGCAGATTGACCAAGGCACAGTTGGATGGTGCTTGCACTGACTCTCGCTTCGACCAGGACTTTTTTGTCGACCTGATCTTTGCAGATGTTGATACTGATGAAAAACCATCAACGGCAAGCACAAGTGGTAAGTGCGCAGTACACGATTGTTGCGAAGACTTCAGCTGTCAGTTTGATTGTTCATTCGACTGTTGTTACAGATAGCGAGCTCGCTATTGCTCCTAAAAGTGAAGGTGTTTCGCTGAATAAAGATGATCGTCAAGCTTACGAAGACATGCTTCATCGCGACGAGGCCTTCTGGCAGGATATTGAAGACAGAAAGACACGGCTTCAGACGCGACGTGAGGAGCAGCTCAAAAAGAAGCAGGCTGAAATAGAAGCTGAAGCAGCTGCTGCCGCCGCCGCCGAGGCTAAAGCTGCAATCGAGATCGAGGCAGCGAAGCGGGAAAGCGAGCAGACATCCAAAAAGCAAAACTCTTTCAGCATCAATGACACCGACGAGGATGTTGTTGGTACAGGGAAAACCATTCGCAAGGGAAGCTGGGACGAGGAGAAGGACAAAGAACTCATGAGTGAGCTCGAGTCGATAACGTGCGGGGCATCTGAAAAGGCTGCCAAAGTCGTTGGCAGGACCGAGATGGAAGAAAAAGCTACGAATGCGTCAAATGCTACGAGTGGAAGCGACGATGCTACAGGGCTGTCAAAGGCATCCGACGAAATGGAAAACCTCGAGAAAGAGCTGGGTCTGCAGTCGCTGTCGACTGACGCGGAAAGTCTTTTAAATGGCAAGATCGACCCCGAATTGGAGCTGCTCGATGCTGAGTTCAAGAGCCTCGAGGGGTTGTCGCCAAAAGCCGATGACGAGGCTGACGATGAGCTGAATTTCGAGGCGGATGATTTCGAGGAGCTTGAAGAGTATTTAAGCGGTCTCTCGAGCAAGTGAAGGTGACTGCTGCGCTCTTTTGCTCTCAGTACAGTTCGTTTAGCTTGCGTGTGGACGAGATGTCGTGAAGGCTTGACAGACTGACTGACTCTCACCCTCAGAGTTTACTGACGTGTAAGCTCCAGGGAATAATGTACCAGCCTTGCGTGGAAATGTATGACGTGGTTTCTGCTACGCCGCTCTAACACCCTGTTGCATTGGGATAGTCCTTGCAAATGTGAGTGCTAGCGCTTGCATGCAACAATCGAATGACGGCGCAATGGATGAGAGTTTGCATTCTGTCTGGACGCATCAGCACACAGGTGGAAGCCTGGCAAGTGTGCCGGCTGTAATCGCTTGTTGTCTAGATGAACAGTCGTAGTTAGATGCAAAGTACACGACTAAGGTCGTCCGTGTCGCCAAAAGTCAAGCATCGCTCGCAATCCATCTCATCCGACTCCAGCCAGCGCGATGTCAAGTGCACTCGCTGACGCGATAAGTCAGGCAGATCCAAAGCAGCCTGCCGTCAAGAACGTCGTCAAGCTTTTCGGTCTTACGTGCTCGTACAAACCACATCCGGGTACCAGAGCTGCGTCGAAGTTGAATGCTTCACGAGCGCGTATCGGGGAAAAAGGAGTTGTACGAGCGGATGCACAACGTGTGAGCATATTTCTCCACCTAATCAGTTGCCACCACCTGTACCGATCGCCGAATCACGTAGAATCAAGCAGCATGTGGGTCGAGAGAAAAAGGTATGACGATGCACTGGAATGTGTCGATCCGCGATCGTTTGGCTGAAAGTCGCCAGACCAGGACAGGAGACGTCCCTGCAATGGCGGCTGGAAATCATTACCGAATCTGTAAACTCGTACAACCCTGGACTATCCTGCTGCCACCTGCTGCATCTCCGGCTGCACGCGCCCGTTGCAATAGCTCCCTGAAGCGGCTCGAAGTTTCATTCGTGCAGCTGAGACGTCTGGGTGAGGTTTGCGCGCTTTGAAACAATCGCATCCTCTCTGCAGCTCTGCGTCCTTCGTGCCATTTGTGTGTCAGAGTTTTGTAGTAAATCAAGGTGACGCTCCTGGAGCGCAAACTGTTCGTTTGCGTAAGGCCTTGTTGCCACGTGAAGCCTTAGCAGTATCGCCCTCCTGAGCACCGTCACGAACGTCAAGCTTTACGTGCCGCACATCCTGCCCCCAGTCTTCAGCCATAATCCACCTGCAAGCAACACCACATGCCTAGCACACGCTTTTTCTCACACCCCACTGTTGTCCGCGGCGACGCATGGATACGCGACTTGTCCGTCCTTGGCTTCAACTTGCCCGCACCCTCCACGTCTATTGCCCAGCAGCACCATGCACGACGGCTGTACAGTAAGGCTCAATCGGCCTCGGCTTCAGCCAGTCGTCAATTGCCGGTCCTTCCAGCAGCGGTGTAGATGCGAAACGGCGTCCGGAGCTTTCCCAGCCACATCTTCAGCGCTCTAAAGTGTCCAAAAGTGTGCTGCTCGTCCCCTTGTGCTCGTTCAATAAACTCGGACACTCCCAACTGCAGCAAACGTGTCTACACTGTCGCGCTGTGGCATCGCACTTGGCGCAACTCGAACCGCCACGTCCCGAAACAGCAATGCAAACGTCTTTGAGCCACTCGTTCCCGCATTCCCTTTTTGTAGCCGACCACATCACCTGCTGCGCATCTTCTCAGCTACTCTACCGCCATGAAGTTGTAGCCACAGTAGCGACAGCAGTGGAGTACTGAGGTAGCAGTTCCGTCATTAGAAACGCGTTTATAGCGTCGATCGGTGTGTCCAGAAGCTGGCGGCTGCATCACACTGTTGCTGCATAAACAAAGCCACGTCTTGAGCGGTGCTACTGTCGCTACTGAAGATCACCTGCAGCGAGTCGTGGCTCTTAACAGTCTCATCGTTTGCTCGTCGCATGACATGCGCAGTGAGCGCTGCTGCTCGCGCGATAAATGGTGTGGAGGACGTGCAATACTATGTGCACCACGTAGAACGTGACACGCAGGAAACGGGGCCTCGATTCGCACTTATCGGGAACGTCGTGCCCAACGCGACATCTGGCGCCACTGGACCGGACGCTCGCACGCGCCTGTCATTGGCTGACGGCAACTGTCTGCTTCAACATCCACTCGTCGACGTCGACGCCGCTCCGCTGCCCATACAAACGTCAAGTTTCGTCTCGGTCCACTTCTCCGTCTCGCGCGCTCATGTCGCCATTTGCGTCCACCAAAAGGACCAACAAATGAGACAGTCGAAAGGCTCCGCTCCGTCCGTCTCGTCGCATCGCTCGCCCGGTCCGCCACGCCACTCCACTGTGCCATCGTACCGTCTGCCACGCGCCAGCTGTTTTATCGCACAAGTGCGCAGCCATACGCTTCTCCGTCGACTGACTGTATCAACGGCCAATGAAATGGGGCGGAGCGCTCTGCTGTGACTAACGTCTGTCCATCAACAGAGGCACAAACGTTGCAGCAACGAGTCGCGTTGAGACGAACAAACTGTGGCTGCGACCGTTGCAGATTGGAAAGAGAAGTGGCGCTGGACGACGACTGCGTTTCGCTCGACGCTGCGCAAAAAGCGACTCGCAGCAATCGTGACCCACACTGAAGAATTGGCAGTGATTGCGTCGGTCGAGAGCAGCACACCGCTGCTTGAAAGAGAGGCGAAGTCGTGTGTGTGGCTGGAGTTGTTAGTGTTCGCTTGGACGCGCACGAGCTGCTTCGCCGTCCACGTTGCGGCGCAAGCATAAGAGTGCAACAGCCAGTGGATGCTGTGGGGATTCTGTCGCCCTGAAACTGTCTGCCGCTGATGATTACACGCAAACTTGGCCCTCATCTCGCTGCTCAATGCACAGCAGTGGTCAAACAAACCAGCTGCCGATACGCCGCTGTCGGCTCTACCTCTGGATAAACTCATAGAAGACGCCGGTATGCCGCTAAGTGTGATTGATGTAGTGCCGGTCCCACATGACAAGTCGGCCGAGATTGGCGGGGCGTTGACTAGCAGCCACGACGTCCGGATGATTGAGGTCGCGGGTTCGAGCGTGTCGGCAGACTGTTGATGAAGCAGTCGGCAAAGCCTGAAAAGCACTTGTCACTGGAATTGAGAGGCTATGCTCCGTCCATTGTGTATGGAGATACTGACCTATACAAGGCTTAGGTTGGCTTGATAGCTTGCAAGTTTTGCAATAGAGGCCAAGCGTGTGTCTGTCATAAACACGTATTTGGCCATGACAGCATTCGCGACAGATTCGCAGCCAAGTGGCGGAGCGTGTGAAGCAGCTGAAAATGGGCCCACCTCGTGAAGAAGTCGTGAAATAGAGTGGACATGATGCTTCATCAAGGACGTGAAACTTGTGAAGGATGCAGTCATGAACAACGCGATGGTTTTTGTGGCAGCATGCAAAGTGACATTAACGCAATCTTTACGACGCTACTGCGTTCGGCTAACGTGGACAACACGATGCGTGTCTGGAGCGAAGAGATTTTAGTCATATCCTGCCGCTGTTTACATTTTTGTCGGAAGGTAAGGTGACTGATTTGACCATTCGAACGAAAGATGGTCTTGCTGGTTACTTTTTTGCGCACGGGCACATTGTATCTGCGCTAGGGTGTGTAAATACGGCTACGATCTCAACTGTCAGGCTCTTTTTGGTGATACAAAGCAGTTCGACTGGGACGTGAAGGCCAACACCTACGAGCGCATCGCGTAAGTAAGCACAAGCCTTTTCGTTGCACCAAAGATCCTCGATCCAGCAGTTTCCGTTCGCTAAAAGTGTCTTGCCGATTGCACAAAGTCCCGAACTCTTTCCAGAATGGCAATTGCTATAACGGTGCATTGCTCTGTCGTTTTTCGTGTGGGTCTCGAAGACAGCACTTGATTCGTAACTCATGCGCCCGCCTCCTATCGTTGGAGCTGTGTCATAAGATGTATGTTTGCTCGGCTTTTGTGTCAGTAAGTTCACTGCATTACACGCTGACATATCAAGCTTGAGCTATGGTGCAAATTGCCGCCCGCACACCACGTGGGTCGAGATTTGGAAACTGCTGATGTCAATCCAGCTCGTTGCAAGCTTTTGCAGCAAGCAGTTCCGGTACATCGTTTGTCGTGCTATGCAACTATATGAAGACACGGCCTCGATCAGTGCGAGCTGCTTCGCCAGTGCACGGATAGCAGCGCTGTCAACCCTTCGGTCAGATGCAAAATAGACAAGTTGAAGGCGTCGACGTTTCCTGATCGAAAAAGTCTACGACACCATGTATTTCGGACGAACGGACGTATAGCACGCATGTACGCGATCGTGTTGAGGTGCTGGTTCTCGATGCGACGTTGCTTTGGCTCACAGCTTCCTTGCAGCTTCGCGAAGACGCGACACGTGTACGTGGCCGACGCAGACAAGTTGGTCAAGCTTGGTAAGAACCTTGGTGTAGTCACGCGCATCTTGACTGATGCCTCGTCTTCCGTCTCCAATCGCCTCGCACCTCATCGGCGTGTTCGCTAAATAGCCGCATGGGAGTGGACTTGATGAAGTAGCGACCGTCGGTGAACTGTGCGCGCGGCTTGGATCTGTGATGTCTGTCCGATGCTCTTTGAAGTGGTTTTGTCCGGGAGATCTGAAAACGCGGGGCAAATGTATGCGGATCTCGAGCTGAGCTGCTTGCTTGAATCGTGGTGAAATTGAACCAGCGGTACCTCGCATCGTTGGATCGATTTGATGGAAACGCATGGACTTTACTTGGAAAAAGCAAACTCAAGAACCTAAAGCACGAGAACAAGCTCGTCGATGCCACGGACGAAAAAGCTGCGGTATACCGAATATTGCCGCATGCCGAAAGTGCGAATATGAAGGCTAGCTCCTGCCAATGGCTCCTCTCCACCGTGATCAAGTAATGGCTTTTGTCACTGCAAGAGATTAATCGTTCATGCGAGATGATGCACTTCTGGCGATAAATAAAGGCTGTGAAGACGCGTGTGAGCAAAGATATGGGATCTTTAATAT